CTTCTTCTTCTTCTAAAAAATCTTTAAAAATAAATAAAAATGAAAGAAGAATGTCTCTATGTCCAATGATTACTTCAAAACGTTTAAATTTAGAAGAAGAATTTAAAGAAGGAAGGGAAAGATTAAATTCTAATTTATCTACAAGTTCTACACCTGCAACTGGAAGGGAAATCAAAAGAAATTTGAAAGAAGAATTTAGACAAAATTCAAAAAGTTCTAATAAATTTGGGTTGCAAAGAAAAAATTATTTGATTAAAGAAAATTTGAAGAAAGTTGGAAGTTTGGATTTAAATTTATCTAAAAATGAAGAAGAAAAAGAGGAAGAAGAATCAACATCTTTATTAAATGCTAGTCCAAAAGAACCCTCTACTTCAACAAAAAATTCAAAATATTTTTGAATTTATAGAAAAAAAATATTTTCTTACTTCCTTTCTAATTTATACTTGTAATTTCAGAAATTTCTAACTCTTTTTTTGTTCATCTTCTTTGTTGTTTTTAGCTTAAGTTTTTCTCTAGGGTATAATTTATAATTTAAAATACTTCTTATTTATAACTTTTCTGAAATTTTGAAAACTTTGATGTTCATTTCCCCTTTGGGGATAACTTTAAATATTTACTAACTTTTTTACTTTATTTTTCTTTTTATTTTTAAATAAAAATTATTTGTTTGTGTTGTCTTTAATTATTGTTTGTTTGTTTTGTTTGCTAATCGCTTCTTTAGAAAAACTAATATACATACTTGAAATACTCACACACATTTAAATGTTATGCTAATAATTAATTGCTTTAATTAATGCTTCTTCTTCTCTACTAACAAATAATTTTTAAATGGTTTGTCAATTACGCGCTTAATTTAATTTTAATATTAATTAATTATTTTATTAAATTAAGGCGCCTCCTGTTGAATTAGAAAAAGCATCTGAATTAGTTCACATTCCTTTTGTATTGGACCTCCCTCCAAGTCCACCCCCTCCAGAACCAGAACCTCCTTCAATGAAGACAGAAGTATTACCTACAATAAATAAAGCAGATGAATCTGTTGTTGAAGATCCAAAACCTTCAAATGTTGAAGAAGCGTTACCTCCAATTGCCAGGGCTGTTGTTATGGTTGGGGGAAATTAATTTGTAAAGGAAAATAAAAATTACCCAAGGTTTAATTACCCAAGTTTAAGAACTAAAAAGTAATGGTTTAATTACCCAAGTTTAAGAAATATTTAAAATGGCACAATCTAAAGAAATTAAAGAAATTCTTGCTAAACTTCAAACTATTCAACAACAAATTAATAAATTAGACGACAAGGTTGAAACATTAAATACAGCAGATATTATTGAAAAATTGGAAAATATATCAACGACTATAGAAACAACAGCAATCAAAGCTGTTGAGGATAAAGAAAGACAACGTAGTCTTGTCCTTATAGGATTAAAAGAATCAACAGCAGTTCGGCCAACAGAGCGTGCGAAAGCTGACGAGGAGGAGGTTTTACGCGTTCTGGACGCGCTGGACGTCCAGACATTGCCATTGGCAGTGTATAGAATGGGAAATCCAGCCAAAGCAGGTCCAAATGGTCGTTTAATTAAAGTGATACTTCCCAGTACATCTTTTCAGCGAATTTGTTTGGCTCAGTGGAAAAAGAAACGTCTTGAGATTCGATCCATGGAAAAATGGACCAAATTACTAATAAGACCTTCACTAACTGCTGAACAACTACGCTTAGACAAGGAAGAGAGAGACAAACGCAGAATCGATTGGCAAGAAAGAAATAAGAATAATACTGCTGGAGACAACGTTACAAGACGTACAAAAAACTATTAGGTAATTTTGAGATCAAATTATACTATTTTAATTCAAGAAGTGTTACAAACAAAATTGACACTCTTAAATTCCTAATGCAAAAAAATTCCTTTGAAATAATATTGATAACTGAGAGCTGGCTAAATCATAAAACTTTAGACTCATCCATAATAGAAAACTCAAAATATTCATTAATACGTAACGATAGAATTAATTCTAAAAAAGGCGGCGGGGTTTTAGCAGTTATTTCAAATTCTATTCCCTTTAATGAAATTAAAACCTGCAAAAATTCTCACTATGAAATACTATGTTTTGACATATATTCACCTTTTACTTCCCAGAAACATAGATTTATATTAGTTTATCTCCCACCACCTGTAAACAAAATACAACAAAATTGCCTTGTTGAAAAATTACAACAATTAACCAGTATTGATTATACATACTCTATCATTGGTGATTTCAATATTCCTTATATACCCTGGGGTAGCGAAAATTTAATAGAAATTAAAAATGATAATATTTTACTAGAATTTATAAAATACTCTCAACTAGAACAAATTATAAAATTTCCTACACGCCAAAACAATTTTTTAGATTTAATATTTACTAATTCACTTTCCTCCTATAAATCCATAAATATGACTGAACCAATACAATCAAACATATACCAGTCCGATCATAATGGAATAGAAGTCATTTTCAATTTCATAAAAACCAAAAATCTTAATCAAAATTATAAAGATTATATAAACTGTAACTATAATATCATAAACAACTATCTAAATTCAATAAACTGGAATTTATGTTTTGCAAATTGCATAGACATAAATCACCTGTATTCCACCTTCCAAAAAATAATTTCTGAAACTATAGAAAATTTGATACCAACAAAATCTAGAAACAGTAAAAATTTATTACCAAAACACATACAATCATTAATTGAATACCGTCGTAAACTATTTAAGGATAAAAGTTTACACTCAACAGAAAAATTTAAAATTGCATCATTAAAAATAGATAAAGAAATACAGAAATACTTTAGAAATCGTGAAAATAAACGATTAAAAAATATTCGAACTAAATATACTCATATTACAAACCTTTTAAAGACAAAAAATACACAAATTCCAATACTCTTGGACAATAATAAACTTCCTCTAATATCAGCTAAATCTAAAGCTAATCTCTTTTCAAACTATTTTTCACAAATTCTCTCTCCATCCAATCAAAAATCTCTAATCCACAAACCTTCTCTCACTCCAAAATCTTCTTCAAATAAAAATAACCTCATTAACACACACACAAACAAACCATATTTAAACTTTATACAATCATTTCAAGAAGATATATTCTTTATATTAAAATCGTTAACAAATAAATCAAATATATCGACAGATATGATTCCTGAGATATTTTTAAAAAATTGCTCACAATCACTTGCTTACCCTATCTACTACATATTTAACTATATTACAATGAGCGCAAACTTACCCGATATCTGGAAACAGTCCATAATTATACCCATTCCGAAAAATAAAAATTCATCCTGTCCTTCAGACTACCGGCCAATATCTCTATTATGTCCAATCTCAAAAGTCTTCGAAAGATTATTATACAATCAATTAATTAATTTTATAGAAAAATATGAAATTATCCCTAACGTCCAACATGGATTTCGAAAAGGGAAATCAGTAACCACACAACTTTTAGAAACATTCAACGACTTTTCGATTGCTTTGGAAAATAAACAATTTATTGATGTCATATATTTTGATTTTAGTAAAGCCTTCGACACAGTTCCACATGATAAACTTATAAATAAATTACACAAAATTGGAATAAGGGGATCTTTTTTACAATTGCTAAAAAATTACCTCACTAATAGAAAATTTACTGTGATGATCCAAGATTATAAAACTGATTTAATGGATATAAATAGAGGCGTCCCACAGGGGTCAATACTAGGGCCATTATTTTTCCTTATATACATATCAGATCTACCCAGTTTCTGTGAAACAAAGGACGTAAAGATAAAATTGTTTGCAGACGATCTTAAAGCATACTCATTCTCTAAAAACACTAAAGACTTTGAAATTAACCTACAAGAGTTTATCAAAAAACTAGAAAAATATGCTGAGGAAAATTCACTCAAACTTTCAGCCGAAAAAACATCTCTTTTACACATAGGGCCTAAAAACCCTTTGCACACATACACACTCAATAATCAAAAGATAAAAACAGTCTCAAATCAAGATTCTATAAGAGACCTTGGCGTTTATTTTTCACACGATTTAAAATGGGAAAAGCACATCAAAATTATAACTAACAAAGCAAATCAAACAGCATTTACAATAATAAGAAATCTAAAAACTAATGATCCTAAAATATTACTCGAACTATATAAAATATACGTATTACCCATAATAGAATTTGCATCGCCCGTTTTCAATCCATATCTTAAAAAGGATATCGAACACCTTGAACAAATACAAAAAACTTATTTACGTATTATATACAATAGGTCAAATCCACGCACACCAATTCCAGAATATCAAGACCTTCTACAAATTTTTAAGGTAGACTCGCTACAAATTAGAAGACTCAAAACTGACTTTAAATTTTTCCACAAAATTTTACATGGTGAAGTAAAAATCGATCAAAAAGAAACATTTAAAATTACAAAAACTAATACAAGGGGAGACGAATATAAATTTTTTATTCCGGCAAGATCAAATCAAATCAGCCATAATTCCTTTTTTGTTAGGACAGCGCGGCTATACTCTCAGTTACCAATATCAATACGTAAATCAAATTCCAAAATATTCAAAACACTTCTTGATCAAATAGATCTCAACACATATTTATCACGCCCCACACCCGTAACATAATACAATCACATATATTTGTTGTACCAATTATTGACATATATTTGTTTTAGTTTAATTTTCAACTTGACTTAATTTATTTTTTCAATCCATATATGTATTTTCAAATTTGTAATGTCGCCCAAGAGGCAAATAAATAAATAAATAAATAAATAAATAAAAATAATTTTTAAAGCATGAACAAGTTGGAGAACAAACTAAGGATTCAAGTACTGAAGCTCAAGTAGCTCAGGTAAATAGCCGAGCTTTCTTTTTTTTTGAAAAATTTTAAGTTCCTTAAATAAATTTAGAGATTATTGCCTTCATTTACTCCTTCCGATATGTTAGGAATTACAAAATCGGAAATGACACGACTTTCTCCCGAACAGTTTGTAAATGAACAACAACACCTTTTATTACCTGAAACTGTTCAAGTAAAAAGAAAAAAACTATTTTTTAATTTAAAAAGTCCTTTCTTCTTTCAAAGGCTTCTGTAGATGAGAATGCTTCAGAAGAAACTACTTTCTCTTCTGCTGATGAATGGGATCGTTTAATGAATTTAGCTTCTACAGAACAACTTCCAAATATTGTTAGTTATGTAAGACAAATGATTTCTGATGTTCCTCAAGTAAAGAAGAAATCTAAAATAATTTTTAATTATTAAATAAATACATAGATTCCTTCTTTGGAAAGACTTTCAATATCTGAAGATGAATTAATATTTTTTGCTGATACTGAGGCAGAGGAAGAAGAACCCGCTTTTGAAATTGATTTGGGTGCTTTTGAATTAGTTGATGCTGGAATTAGTGCAGAAGTGAATTTTAATTTAATATATTTTTTTGTAGTGGAAATGCTCTAATGTTTATTTTAAAAATAATTTCAGGAATTATTAGCCAATGAGGACCCTGTAATTTACCATAGAGACATGCCTGTACATTCTGTTCATCATGATACTGTTCAGACAGAGGCAGCCATTCAAAATTTAATGAATGCTTCACAATCAATGTTATCCTCTCAAGTAAAATTAATTTTTAAATTAAAATAAAATTAAAAAAAAACAATAAAGATTCCACCTACAATGGTTGCAGATAATTATTGTTTTGCTGTAGATGCTGATAAAATTCAAATGGACGATGTTTTGGGTGATGAACATTGGTGGAAACACACATCTAGACCTACTAAATATTTTTATAGGTTACTCAAAAGCCAAATACTATTAACGGTATTGTAATTAGAGCCCGACCGAGACAAAATTTCGATTCTCGTACGACCTTCCCAGTCCTGGCTCTAATTATAATTATCGTTTTAAAAAATTCTAACAACCTTGATTATATACTTTCAAGTTAGATTAACAAACTTGGAAAAAGATTACAACTCATTCCTTTTTTTAAATTTTTAGTGAAGATCTTCGACACTTTTACCGAGTTAATCTATTAACTAGTAGAGGCAAAATTATTTCTGCTCGATTAGCCAATACAACACCAGCGATGGGAGGTGCTGGTTCTGTTGCAGAAATGTTGCCACCAGAAATGTCTCAACAACAGAGAGGAGATTTTGGACAAACTTCCTCTTTTTCAATGCCAAATACGGCAAGACGTTCTTTAACTTTTTGTACTGGAAGTGCTGGAAGGCCTTCTTTTGGTGTTTATTTTGAAAGAAAAAATCATTTCTAAATTTATTTTAATAAAGCAATTCCTTCTCTTGATCCTTCACAAATTATTCCCCCTAATGTTTTACCTTCACTTTCATTATTTCCATCAACTAGTGGATTTGTTGGTAGACATTCTATTGCCCCTTTTTCTTCTTCTTCTTCTACTAGTCAACAACAACAAGATCAACAAGTTAATTAAGAATAGATATCTCGATTAATTTCCAAATTTAAGATTACTCCAACATCTGGAGGTCCTTGGAAGCAACCGGAAATGGCACAACGTGGAGAACCAGTAGATTTGAGCAAAGTTTATAGGCAAACAGATTTTATTTTAAAATAAAATTCCTTGTTTGGGATCTTGCCTTTCTTTTTACAATTAAGCTCAACCTCACTATTAGATAACTCAATACTTGATACACCTCTGTTTAAGGAAAAATCTTTTAATTGGTTAACCCTAGGTGGAGGTCTGCCTACTATCCATATATTTAACTTTTTATAACAACGATTTTTCAGCTCCAGGTAGTTAGATTAAACCGTGTCCGGAAATTTGGGGAGTGGACATTTGGGGAGTGGACAATTTGGGAGTGGAAATTTGGGGAGTGAGCGGATATTTGGGGAGTGGACAATTGGGGAGTAGAAATTTGGGGAGTGAGGATTTAAAAAATAATTTTAAAATAGATTTTTTGGACAATAAAAATAATTTATACACTCGTGAAGGTGTTTTTGTGGAGTTTCAAAGGGTAAAATTCAATTCCACCTCTTTTTTCCTTCCTCAACGTATTAACAAAGGGTAGTCAATTTTAGGTTATAGAGCTCGTCGAGCTGTGTTAGCTTAGTCGAATGACACCAAAATCAAAAAAATCCGGCTGTAGTGAGTGTACCGGTGGTAAAATTTCGGGACGGACATATGTCATTCGATTCGTCTCGGCGAACTGAGTCGAACGTACCACTCTTTACTGCAGGAAATGATTCTGGGCCGAGTTATAGGTCCCGAAAAATTGAAAATTTTGAGAAAAAGGAAGAAATCTTGCCTATTGGCCTTCCAAAACCCATAAAATTTTCGCCTGCGGCGCTAAAGCGTGAATTTTTCATGTCTTTGGCACATTTTTCACTTATAAATAGAAGTTTGTCTTCTGCACAGAGATGCTGAGTTTTGAGTGCTTACTGCACCTATTAATCAAAAAATCTCGTTTGTGGCACTGAAATTTAAATTTAATAATTTCTAGTGAAACCTCGACCCCCGGTCGAAAAGTCAATCCCGACTCCGAACCCCGACATGCATTCCCCGGCAAACCCCGATCCCCGACACAACCGCCCCCGAAGGGTAGGTTGCTACCCTACTTTTATGGGTGTACTCAACCGGCATACACAACACGCCGGCACTATACAGTAGTACTCAACTACCGGTACTTATTAACCCAATCGCAGAAAAAACTTAAAATCTTTGAAACTCCACAAAAACACCTTCACGAGTGTATTAATTATTTTTATTGTCCAAAAAATTTATTTTAAAATTATTTTTTTAATCCTCACTCCCCAAATTTCTACTCCCTAATTGTCCACTCCCCAAATATCCGCTCACTCCCCAAATTTCTACTCCCCAATTGCCCACTCCCCAAATGTCCACTACCCAAATCTCCGGGAGCCGATTAAACTATATTGAATTTAACTAGGAAATATGCTTTACCTATAAAATTAAAATTTGTATTTTCCAGAGTTGTTCGTTTCTATTCTTTTTGGCGTACTTGTACATCATTCCACCGTATTGTAACAATGATTGAAGTAAAATTTACTTTCAAACAATTTATTTAAAAAATTCTTAATTTAAAGAGAGTAGGGCAACCTCCTTCAGACACACAAACTCATGGAGGATATAGTCCAATAAGTGGAGTAAATCCATTTGGAGAAGGCCCTTCAACAGCAACAATAAGTTCTGTTCAATCAGATAAATCAGATTCTTCTTCTGCTGCCAAATCTACAAGGCCGAGTTCTTCTCCTTCTCGGAGCATTCCAGACTTTCAAAAACGCCGTTTATTTGTTCAATATTTGTGGAAGAATATGTTCCTTTAAATAAATTAAAAAATAATTTTTAAATTTTATAGTAAATCATCAGATAAAATACGTGTACAACGTGAATTTGATCCGAGAAGACAAAGACTTTTAAAATGTGTGGCTGATTCTGCAGCTAGAAAAAGAGTTGGAAAAAATATTTTAGAAATGAAATTATTAACATTTATTTTTAGATGACTGGGGCTAAATCACAGTTTAGAAGTGGAAGTGCTGGACATTCTATGGAAAAACATTCGCCTCATCATTCAAGATTGGTTAGACCAAAATTTTTTCAAAAGGAGAATTAATATAGATTGTATCTATTTGTTGAACCTTATTAAATAAGCTCCGTTATTTTATTTGACTTAATCAACTTTCTTGAGTTTCCAAAAAAATCCGAAAAGTCCCTCAGTGCCTATAAGTTGTAAAGGCGTTGAGAAATTTGTTTTCTACTAGATCAGAAAATTATTTCTGCGTACCATTAAAACAATTAATAAACAAATAAATTTATAAGCTAATAATCTAAATTTGTTTTACTTTTTATGAAAAACTGCCTTTTTTAATTTTTTCTATTAGCAACCAACACCACCAAATCAATCCCCAGCACCTAGAAGTGGCTCTATTCGTTTTAGACTTCCACCAGAAGGTCCACCAACTTCAAGTACTTCATCATTAGATGCTCCATCTAATTCTTTTACTCGCCGATTACCACGCCCTCGTTCTTCTGCAGCTTCTCCTTTAAGACGTGCTAAAACTGAAAATGATGATAATAATGAAATAAATGAAAGTAATTCTTCTAAAAGAATTAAAAGTACAAGTAGTAGTAGAAGATCAACAGAATCAAATAAATCATCCCCTAGAAGATGAAAATACTTTTTATTTTAAATTTAATTGATGTATACCTCTGTTTTTGTTTTTATTTATTTTGTATTTTTAATTTAAATATTCTATGTACATATATTTTTATTATTTTTATAAATTTATTATTCTAAGCACAATAAAATTTAGTAAATTAAATATAAAATTAGTATATGTACTTAAATAATAATTACTAATATAAATTTGGACCTCACTATAAGATATCCTTAATTCAAATTGATATTTTTTAAAGTTTATGGGTCTACGAGATGCTTAATATTTAATCTACATACACTCATAGAATGAAATTCTAGCCGCAGACCTCCTACAGACCTCCTATATTTTATAGGAGGTCTGATTTTACTACTATTAATATTTTTAAAAATTTATTTATAATATTAAAAAATTATTTTTACAAAAATTAATTTAAAAAAATATTTAATATTCATCCTTATTATCTTGTGTATTTTTCGGATCATTTAAATTTAATGCAGCTGCATTTCTTATTGCATTATGAACTTTCGAAGCTATCTTCCCTTCAATATATTCAATGATTGCTTGATTGACTAATTTTTTTGTTTCTCTCTTAAAGTCTTCGTGATTGAAGCTTAAAAGAATTTTTTAAATTTAATTAACTTTTTGTTTGAAAGTCCTCAAACAATGTTCCTGCCCCGAATTTTAGTCAAAATTCGGGACAGGTTTGGGATCCAATTCTAATTTAAAATTAACAAACAACCTTTCTTCTTCCTTTTCACCAAAATAATTTTCAAAAAATTCCTCATTTTCATTCAAATAATTTTTTTCAATTTTTTCATGTTTCTCTTTACATTCATAAAAATCTTTTCCAATTAATTTATTATTTTTTCCTAAATTACAAATAAATGCAGCCATTTCCAAAATTATTAATTTTCCAAATATTTTTTGTATTTCTACTTCATTTAAATATTTATTTATTAATTTTTGAAAAATTTTTTCAATTAAAAATAAAACAATTTCATTTTGAAAAAATTTAATTTTTTGTTTTTCCATTTTTGGACTTTTTCCTTCCTTTGGACTTTTTATTAATAAATCTTTTTGTTTATCTTTATTTAACATTATAAATAATTTTGATTTTTCTTTTTTTATTTCTTTTGACGCTTCTGCTTCTTGTAAATTTGTTGTTAATTTACCTAAAATAGAAGATATATGTACGAGGGATATATCCAACCCGATTCCCGAAAATCGGGAATTCCCCTCGTTTTTCGGTCGGGATCCTGAGTTCCCGGATTCGGAAATTTATTTCTATACTGACTAGATCCCCGATATTTACATTCTCTACGATAGCTCTCTTAAAATTTGGTTTTCCAATGAATGAGGGGTTTAAACGTTACCCTCTATTTACATTATAAAATAAAATTTTTCCTTCCTTAAGAGGGAGGAAAAAAAATTTTTTTTCCTTCCTTAAGATAAAATTTTTCCTTCCTTAAGAGATAATAAGTTCTTACTATCATTTGTTTCTTCTGTTGAAATTTCTTTTCCCTTTAATGTTTCACTCGGTCCAGCTTCTGTTTCTTTTTCAATTTTATTATTATTTAATGAATATTCAGGATCTGACCACCATCCTTTTTTCTTTAATTCCTTTTTAAGTTGACTACTTTCATCGGAAAGAAAGTTTTCAGCATTATTTATATCAAGCAATGTGTGAATATTTGTTAATTCGCCTACTTCTATGTTGAATGGACCTATAAATTTATATGTTTTAGATGACGAGGGGAAGGAGGGGGGGGGACGGAGGGCTTTTTGGAATTTAAAAAAATCCTTAAAAAGTCTCCACCTTCATATTTATCTCCAAAAATTTCATTTTCTTCCTCTTCAATTAATTTAAAATTTAAGGGCCAGGGTCTCTGTTTCATCATTCTCCAAACTTCATCATCCCCAAATTTTCCCAAAATATTTTTTACTCTTTTTATATAATTTTTAAATAAATTTCCATTAATTTTAATTGAATTTTCTGTTTCTCCTTTTCTTTTAGCAATTAATTCCTTTTCCTCATTACTGAGCTTTTCTGGGGTAAATAATTCTTTAAATTCTGGAATATTTAATGGAAATTCAAAAAATTGATTGAGAAAAGCAAAAAGAGCAAAATCAGCCTTTAAAATTAAAAAAAATTTTTTTTATTTTATTTAATCAATTTACCAAAGTTGGATTATTTCCATGCAAAAAATTATTTTTACCCTCAGCCTCAGTTTTAGCTTCTGCCTCAGTCAACTTTTTTATTATCCCCAACGATTTCATTTTATCTTTAAATTCATTAAATACTTCAACTTCATTAATATTCTTCCCAGTAATTTCTCTCAACTTAAAAAAATAATCAGAATTTAAATCAGAATTTAAATTTAAAAATAAACCCTTTTTTCCCAACAAAAAGGCATTTGACTATCAACAATTAATTTCTTTAAAATATCATTAATTGTATTTTTCAGAGCATAATTTACACGTTCCCAATCTTCATAAATTCTAGCATTAACTCCAAAATATTCTTGAAGAAAATTTATTTTCAATAAATTAATTTCTTCTCTATTTTCCCTTCCATTTATTTTTATTTTATTTAAAATATTAAAATAATCTTTCCATAATTCTGGACTTAACGTCATTTTAATAGAATATTTAATTTTAGATATTTTTGTTTCATCACTTTCATCATCTTCCTCCTCTTTTTTTGATTTCTTTTCATTTTTATCTTTTACCGGAGAATCAAAAAATTCATCACTCATACTTTCTTCTTTAGAAATATTAATTTGAATCTCTGGGTCTAAAAAAGGGAGGTTATTTTCTTTCATACGTCTGTCCGCAAGTCTTAGAAAATAAATAGTCAGACTTGCAGACTTTTAGTAGCAAAATACCCACCTAAGAAAGCTTCTGGAATAACTGGAATTAATTGTTCACGAACTCCCTCATCTGTTAACATCCAATCAAGACCACCCGGACCTTTCTTTGGAGAATTATTATTATGTAATTTTAAATGAGCAATAGTTCTAGAAAGAAAAGAACTTCCAGGAGAATGCCCCTCAGATCTTGCCATCATTATTTCTTCATTTTTAGCATGAGGGATTTTAATATCAATTGGACTAAATTTCTTTTTTATAGAGATTCCACCCTTTGGCGTTGCTGGTGCACTATTTGATAACGAAGATGAGGTTAGTTGTGTTTCTGAATTATTTTTTGGAATTGTTGCAGAGGGAAGATCTCTCCGAGATGTTCTATCAGCAATTAGAGTCCTGAAAACGTATAATTAGCTAGCAAGATTGACAAATATCCTTTCTTACGATTACTCCAAATAGTGTGTGGTATTTGTTAGAAATAGGATTGTGAGTATCGTTCGTGATATCTCGAAAAATCTCGATTCTCAATAATCGAAATTTTTGTTCTAGTTTTAGTCTTGGTCCGTTCTTTAGTTTAGATCTTTCGAGATTGGGTGTTATAAATTTTCTTTTGTGTGAATTAGACTGAGGATTTTCTAAAAATATAATTTAAATTCTAAATACTTTAGCAAGGTTCTAGTTGCAAATTTTCTAATATTATCATCATGTTCATCACTCAATTTTTTGTTTCCCTTTTTTCTAACTTCTTCAATTATTTTTTCTGCTCCATCCAAATATTTCCCGTTATAAATAGCAAAAGGAATTGCTCCATCAGTTTTTGAACCAAGAAAGAATTGGTTACTTATTCTCTTAAATTATATATACTTCACTATAAGATAGCCTTTGAAGCTGGAAACAATAAAGGACAGCTTCCTCACCCAATGTTAATGGAAATAAGAATGTTATCTTAAATTGAGGAATATCTACTAGATTGGGTGTATCTTATAGGGAAGTTTATTGAAATTTTAATATTTTTACATGAAAAGGAATTCCTTTCCAAGTTAAAACAGCTTCAACATAAAGACACATTGCTCCAAAATATGGGGCATTTGATGTTCTAGGAAAAACAAAAAGATAAAGCGTATCTTCCTTGGCATATCTATCCTCAATCAGAAGATGTTCTTTATCCAGTGTTCGCAATTTTAAAAGACCTAAATGTTTAAAATTTATATTTTATTTTAATTAAAAAAATTTTTTAAATGCTTAAAAACAGCCTCTAATTTACAGGCTCACTATACGTTACCTCCATAGATACCCATTAATTTAAAATACATTTTTAAATGGATTTTCCTTCTAGATATATAATCAATATTTCATTAATAATGTACTTTTTCAGCCCCAAGGAGGTCTCTCATAGTGAGATACATATATCTACGTTCATTAATTTTCCAGTGTTATAAAATAATTTTATAATAACTTACAATTAACAGAAGAATTTAATGAAACAAACAAAATAAAAAACAATAATTTAAACATTAAATAATATTTTAATTAAAAATATTTTTATTAAATTAAAAAATAATTATTTTCAATCAAAATTTAATTCTTTATATATTCATTAATTTAATAAAATAAATTCACATGTTAAAGTCATTGTAAATACAATGAATGCCCTTTTAATAAATAAAAGGACAGTGCCGCCTTTGAAAAAAATTAAAAATACTTTTATTTCGTCGCTATTAAAAGTGCAAAGTTAAATAAAGAAAATTTAAAAATAATTTTTTATCTTTTGACTTTAATTCTTTGAGAAAATTTTTAAATAAAAATTTTAAAAGTGCAAATAAAATATAATTTTGAAATTTTAATTTTGAAAATTTGTTTATTTTATATTTTAAATTAATTAATATTTAATTTATTTTTTTCTTAAATATTCAAAAGCTTGATTTGTTGCAGAAAGATATGTTTGGATAACGGAAAAAATCCAGTGTTGGCTAAATTTAGATGTAAAAATTGTTAATATTATTTAAAAATATTTTTATTCATGTTAAATAAACATTGTTTTTAAATTATATCATAATATTTTTAAATAAATATATTTATCAAACTTGACTGTCTAGAATATTAAAAAATTAATTTTAAAATTAAAATTAATTTCTTCCAAAAAATTCAAAAATGGAAACGGAAGAAAATTTTTGACTAAATTCGATACCCCCCGTCCCTAAAAATTCTTTTTTGCTTCGGATTATTTCCAAAAAATCTTCTTCTTTTTTTATGTAAATATATTATTATTAAAAAATTGGAGATGAATCTCGCTTTTCTATCATTTTCCCTAGCAACGGAAACTCGTGGTACGAATGGAATTTAAAAAATAATTTTTATAGAACAAATAGAGTTTATTTTTTGGTAAGTATTTAAATAAATATTAAATAAAAATTATTATTTATTTTAAGCATTCTCTTCCAAAATTTCAATAAAATTTTTTTGTTAATATTTTTTAGAAGGTAATTTTGTGACTTCTTTATTTTTATTTAAATTAAAGTCACAAACCCCCAGTTTTAATGTACCTTAACTTACAAGCAACTTTTCTATCATCTACTGGCTTACCAAATTTTATAAAAAATCATATCATAAATTTTGTAATTTTTGGTTTATCTTTTGATGTTTGGATGTATTCGAAATTAAATTTAATTATTTATTTGGTATCTTTTTTTAATTTACCCATTAAAATCGGAAATATTTATAGAGTCACGCAAATTGTTTTTCCTCCATAAAATTCCCAAATTTTAAATCTAAATTTGGAATTAGTTAATATAGTTAATGTTTTTCCTTTTCCTTTCCCAAAAAATCCTTTCCCAATTTTTTTATTTAAAAACAAAGTTTGTAAGAAATGCGTGATAAATTCAAAAAAAAATTTTTTGAAAGATGAGAAGAATCATTCTTTTCTATTTTTAAAATTAAATTTATAAAAAAATTCTTAAAATAAAAAATTCTTATTTATTTTAGTTCTTTAATTGTTTGTATTTGATATTAAAAGTTTAAATTTTGTTTTTTTAATTCTTTTTTTCTTTCAAAGAAAATAAGATTAACAAAATTGAAATAAATAAATATTTCTGTTTCTGTTAATTATTTTAATTTGTTTTTATTTAAATAAGCACATCTCTTTTTTTAAATATATTTTGGATATATCAATCTTTAAACTTTTATTTTTTTATTCAGAAAAATTTTTTTTGTTTTATTTAATTTGTAGGCTAAAATTAGACAATAGAAAGGAAGAAAAAATATTTTTTTAAAAATAAAGGTTTCTACAGATTTTTACTTAAATTTTGTTTAAAAATTCTTTTGACTAAAAAATAAATTAAAATATATTTATTTTTTATTTGTCAATAAATATTATTTTAAATAAATAAAAATAAATTTAGATTTGACGTAAGCAATAGTAGAAGAGATTATTTTATGTTAATTTAGTAAAATGAATGTTTGAATTGGCAACTCTCTCTTTTTATTTTTTTGCCTTTTTTTGTACTAGAATTAGAAAAAAAAGTCAAGAAACAAATATTCCAAACATTATCAACTAATTAAAAATTCTTCTTTAATTCTTTAATTATTTATTTAAATATCCTTCGACGTTTAATCTAAATATTTTATTCTTTTTTATAATCCAAAGAAGATTTTTATTTATTTTTTTATATTCACATACCTCATTTTTCATAAATATTTTTAAAAATTATTTTTAGTTTTTATATTTAGTATGTTTTATAATTTAATATAAGAAAATAATAATTTTATTTTCTTTATTAAATTAATTTTTGTAAAAATTCTAAATAAAACCTAAAATTAATTTTATATTCTTTAGCTTAATTGAAAATAATTAAATTAATTTTTCCAATTTTTTAAATCAATTTTAATTAAAAATTCTTGTGTTTATTTTATTTATTTACTAGCTTTTTTTTTTGAAAAACTTTTTTAAAAAACATATCAAATTGCTCTAGTTCTTAGAGCAATTTATTTTATAAGTTTTTATTATTGTTCACATAAATAATAAAAAAAGAGAAATAATAATTTTAATTTTATTTTTCTAAAAATAAAAATTAATGACGTTTTTAATAGAAAAAAATAATTGAGATAAAAATTATTTATTTATTTATTTTTTTATATGTATTTAAAAGTACACATTAATTTATTTAATTAATTATTAGGGATGATAGAAAAGTACCGTTTTATTTAATAATTAAAAAGTCGAATGTTCGAATCCTTCAGAAAAAAAAATATATTTTTATTTTGTGAATATTTAAAAGAAAAAACAATAAATATATAAATAATTTAATTTTATTTATTTTTTAAAAATAAATATTTTTGATTTTATTTTCTAAAAATAGCCATATGTAGATGTACAAATATATTTTATTTATTTATTTATACATATTTACGTACTCTCAATTTTTCTTTCTTTTATTTCTCAGAATTTATTGTCAGTTTTTACTTGTTATTTAAAAAAGCCTTTTTTAGTAAAAAAATATTGAAAAATATAATTAATAATCATCAAAACATTTTTTGAGAGAATTTCCTGCAATTTATTTTTTTTCCTTTTTGTTGGCACAAATGTTGAAGAGAAAGGGGAAGGAGGGAAAGGGAGGAGGTTATTACTCGGGTATTTTTTTTCGAGAGACTAATGAATTTGGAATCGGGAATTGGAAATTTATATTTTCTTTTTTTTCGCTTAATTTAAGTCTACTATTCAATAATATGTATTTTACTTAATGTAGAAATTTTTTTATTTTGCAACATCCTCTCCTTCCATTCCTTCCTTAAAATATTTTATGTATTTTTCTGTTTTTTGTTTATTTTTATTTTGTTTTGGGTAAAATGCCAGCCAACCATATATTTCATTTCTTTTTTTATTTTATTATTATATAAGGCCATTTTTGGCACATGTCCATATATTTTTATGTATAAAATAACAAATTCAAAAAACATTTTTTTAATTTAAAAATAATATTTTATTTTTCAAAAACCTTACAAAATTAGTAATCTAAATTAATTTAAATTAATTCTATTTTATTTATTATTAAAATATTAACAACTCCCCCAACTTAGCTAAATTAAATTAATAAAAAAATATTTTCTTCAAATAATTATTTAAATATTTTTTTCTAAATTTATTTTCATTCCAAATTAGTTCAATTTATTTTTATTTATTTATAAATATTAAAAATAATCACATTTCCGACCAGACTATTTTAATATATGAAAGAAAGATAAAAGTTTTTCTTTATCTCAAAGTTTTTGCCGCCTTTTAAATGAATACAAATTAGCGAGAGAGAAAAAAGTTTTATTCCTCCATCAATTAAATTTTAGTAAAATGGAGAGAATATATTTAGTAGTAGTTTTGGTTTTATTTTTCCTTTTAATTTTTATTTTCTCAGCTGCTCACTCCTGAGAAATGAATTTTTAAAAAGTACATTTTTAATAAATTCTGAATTTATTTTTTATTAAATAAAAAATTATAGAGAAAATAATTTTATTTTTATTGATGAACCTAAATTTAAATCATTAAAATAATTTTGAAAAAAATCGAGATGTGAGGAATATTTAACTAAGAGAAGAGCGAGAAAAATGACCACAATAATTACATATTAATTATTTTAGTTAAATTTAAAAAAAATTAAATGGTCACTATTTCAATGCCTCTCCCATTATTTTCAACTTCTTCAGTTTCTACTTATTCACAACAATTTAAAAATAATAAAAATAATTCTTCTTTAATTTCTCGACATCAAGCTAGACGTGTTTCTTTACCTAATGCTTTGTTGAATAATCAAAGTGGAGGAGGGTTTAGATCACCTCGTTCTAGAACACCTAATTCTTTAAGTCCAAAACTCGGATTTTTAAAGGTTTTCTAAAATTTCTTAAATAAAGTTGGATACTTTTTTGTGTTAAAAATTCATATCTCATAATCAGAGTTATCTGAAAAAAACTCATATAATGGCTTACCAATTATCTAATATTTTTGGATATCTCAATTGAGTTCAGGCTTAAATTAAAATTCTTCCCTTCGAGTAATTTTTTTAACTTCCTCAATTTTTATTTTATTACTAAAAATAATATAATTTTTAAAACAAAAATCCCTTTTTTGTAACTTTAAAACTCTTTATTCCTTTGGGAAGCAATAGACGAACTTTACACAATTTTAAATTTAACAATAAATTAAAAAAACTTTTTTTGCCTAATTTTTGCCAATAAATTTATTTTTACTAAATTCCCTTAAGGAAAGGGTTCGTTGCCTAAAAATAAAAATATAGAGAACAGATTTGCCAATATTTTTCTTAAATATAACCTTTGTACATTTTAGTCAGTTTTATTGTTTTGAGACTTTTTGTTAGAAATTCTTTTATTTAAATATTTTTAGCTTAAAGTTAGAGGAATTTTTAAAAGGTCTAAGCTTGGGTTTGGACTTGGTATTTGATTCAAATAAAGCTCAAAACAACTTCCTATTTCCGAACTCTACGTGAAAGAAAAATCCAAGCCTCTGCCAATACCCATATCCAATACCCTCTACCAACATTTTCTAACACATAAAAAATTTCAAAATTATTTAAACAAATTGTAAGAAAGGAAAAAATCTTAATAACTCTTTTTAAGGAAATCTCAGAGTTCGACATTGATCCTCCTTTCATTTCTCCTGGTGCATCTTCAAGCTCAAGGTATTTAATTAAAAATAATTAAATTATAATATATAATTAAATGTATTTATATACCTACATAATTATTCTATTCTTTATAGTAATTATTCTTTGAATTTATTCCTTTTTAATTTAGCCTTTCCTTTTTTATATAAAATCTCAATAAATAAAAATGTCTCGTGAAGCAAATTATTCCCTAAAGAATAATAATTTTCTCAAAATATTTTCAGATGTTCCCACCCATAAAAACAAAAAATGTAGCATTAAAAAAAGAAATAAAATTTAGTCTATCCCCCTCCCTTTTATTTAATTAAAAATTATTTTCTCGAAATATATTTATTTAAAATATACAGTCGATCCCCTCATTATTTGGGACAGAAATATTTGGATCTTATAATGACGATTATTTTAAATTGAGTGGATTATATTTAGGTACATCTTATTGTGAGGTCTGACTGATTTATTCATAGAATTCCATGTCATTTATAAATATTGTGGGAATAATCTAAAATTATTTAAAATATTAAGTACTAAATTCAAAAAAACCTCAAAAATCATTCTAAATATTCCAAGTACTATTTTCTTTTAAATAAACTGAAGTGCCAAAAAGAATAGATTTTTTAGGAAATTTTTAAAAGAAAGTGAGAAAAGCTTTAATATAAGTAGAGTAAATAGATGGATTGTTGGACTTAAAAACTGTGACAAGTTAAAGGGTAAAAGAAAGTAGTTTTTAAAAGAAAAAATACCAAAAAAATATATTTAAAAGTATTAACATAAATATATATTTTTTTAGTTATAGTTTTTAAGAAAATGCAAGAATGCCGAAACAATCCAATTTAGGAAAAAATAAAAGAAAAAAGAGATGCTTGAGTGAAAAAGTTTTTTTTATTGTTGTCTACATTTATTTTTATCAAAAAAAGTTTTTGATGAATTACTTCCTTACTTTTTCTTTATTTTCCATTCTATTTGAGGAAAGACCCTCAAATATCCGGGATATCGCGGTCACTTCTATTTCATACTTATTTTAAGCTTAATACAGTCTGACCTTATAAGATACACCAAATATAATTAAAATACACCCCTAGTACTTCCACTATTTAAAATACCCCCATTGTAAGATAAAATTTTTCTGTTCCAAAGGGTCTGTCTATCTGTATAATATTTATTTTTTAATCACTTTTTTAGTGCTGATAATTCTCATTGTAATTCTCCAATGCTTCTTTCACCATTTTCTCATCGTCCAGCCTCAGCACGGCCCTATCGCCGTAATAAACTTATTAATCAAAACCAACAACAACCTCAACAATCCAAAACTCAAGAAGAAATTAAACAACGGAGAAATGTTCAATCTTTACGTGCTGCTAGACGTTCAGAACCTTTTATTTTAGGAAACTGTGAGGATTTGGTTGATGACGACTTTAAATGGACAGACGTTGATGGATTTTATGGAAGAAAAAATTCTATTCCGCTTCATCAATTATTGGCCAATGATTTGGCACTTCTTAGGGGAATTCATGCGAAAAATGGTTGGAAATATTGAATTATTTTTTTGTTGTTTTTTTACAAAAAAATCTTTCTTTAGGAAGACTTTTTGTAAATTAAGTAGAATATCTTTTTTAAATACACCTTAATCTAACAAATAAGATAAATATATTTACTATATTTTTTAATTTTGTTGGCTGCTGGTTAGAGGTGGGAGTTACCTACCTAAACGATTCCCCAATTTAAGTTCCACTTTAGGTATCAAATAAACCCTTATATTAACAAAATATTCTCAGAACAATCAAATGGAAACACACCACCCCCAGGAACAATAAAACGTTTAAACAACATTTCTCCTTCTAACTCTGGAATAGATAAAAATGATGATAATCAATTGGAAGAAAATAATGATGAAAGTGAAGATTCTTTAAATTCTGGAAAATATAAAAAAAGACAAGAATCTCGTTTTAAAAGATCTTCTTTGGAAGAAATTAAAAAATCTTCTTCAGCCCCAATGAGTTCCCCAACAAAAAGACGTTTAAAAATGATTAAAAATAAATTATATTCTTTAGAAGATGATCAAAAAGTAAAATTTTAAATTATTTTTATTTAAAAACTTTTATTTAATTAGGGAATTAAATCTAAATTAAATGAAAATGAAGGTTTGGATGACCAGAATCAATCTAATTCTGAAAATGAAAAAGTTAAATTTATGGATTCTTTGGATGAATTGGATAAAGAAAAAGATGGTAGGGTAGATTTTTTTAAAGAAGGTCTTGCCTCATTATAACTCACAATACTAGATATACTCCGCGGTTTAAGATATTTTTAAAATTGATGTACTTCAAGTAGAGGATATTTAATATAATATACATACATATTTCAGTAATGAGGGTGTATTTATTTTATAGTTAGTTCAGTTAAAGAATAAACATTTATTTTCTTTGAACTTTTTTAAGTTTCTTTCATAATTTAATTTTTGTTTTAATTAGAAGCAAACGACGATGTTCGTCTCCTTCGTCAAATTTTAAAATCTCGAAGGCAGCCAATACAACAATTCCGACATTTTAGTGTCGATCAAGATGGTCAAAGAATTGTTGATAGTGGAGTTAGAACAATACGTTCAAAAATCCATCAAAATCCCCCACAAAGTGAAGTGAGAAATCCAAAGGCTAGGCGGGCAACTTGTCCCGAAATTTGGTTAAGTGAAGCAGAAGATGAGGAAAGATTAACTATGAATTGCGCAGTTAGACTTTTTGGATGTAATTCTGTTGGGAAAAAATCAATTGCTAAACAGGTAGGATTATTTAAAAATTTTTAATGGAAATCTACTATACACTCACTACTATAAGATATCCACGTTGTAAATTGTACTTTATAATGATTATTTAAATTAAATAAGCAGTATCACTTAAACATCTCCCCCATCTAATTGTCAATCAAATTTTTGAAAACCGACCTTAAACTGAAATTTATTTAAGATAGGATTTATCTTACAATAAGGTCTGTCTGTAAGAGTCCATTCCTTAATAAGAACCCGTCTAGATAGATCCCTTTTGAAAAGAATTCCGAGACTTCTATTAAAATAATTCCAATCGTTTTTTAGCTTGCCTCAGCAGCAGAAGTATCCCCACAAGATGATGGAGTAATCGTTTCAACAGGCAACAAAAAAATATATTTTTATAATTTATTAAACATTTCTTTTAGATAATGAAGATGTTCAACGTCTTTATAGAACAGTTTCCTTTTTATTAAATGAACATGAAGTTAATATGCAAATTATTCAAGGTTCACTGTTACCTCAAGTAAAATTTTCTTTTAATATTTTAGTTATTTTTTAAATTATTTTTAGAGTCAAGAAAGGTTATCTGATTCAATCGAAGAATTTACTATATTGGCAGGTAAATCAAAATAAATTAAACGGGTATTTTAAGTTATATCTCCACAACTTTTTCCCCTAAAATCAGATTTTTCTAGTCTCTTATAGAGAATATTTGAACATAAAGCAAATAAGTATATGGGTAGTTATTATTAGATAAATCCAGAACATGATATATTTTTAAACTTAGGTTGACTACTAGTTGGAAGAGCAATTGAGGTGTCTAAGATCCACCCCATTTTATAATAATTTTAAAATGTAGTTCAACTGTACTTTTGGGAACCCCTAATGGAAAATAGCTACAAATTTTTTAAATTACTTATAATATATTTATTTTCTTTTAAAGTTGTTTATTCTGTTGATAATAGAGAATCCTTTATTCGCGCAGCACAAATATTATATAGAATTTATGGTGATAGAAAAATAGCAAAAAGAGGAAATAAAAAGAAAATGAAAGAAAATATATTTTTGCCTCTTATTTTGGTTTTTAAATATTTTTTATTTTTTAAGATTAATTTATTTAAGATTGCTAACAAAAGTGATTTACAACGAAAAAGAAGAATTAGTTCAATTGGTTAAAAAATAAATATTTATATTAAATAATTAATTATTTTTTATAGAAGGTAAAATGTTAGCAAAAATATATAAATGTCCATTTGTTGAAATGTCTGCACTTCTTTCTGCTAATGTAGATATTTTGTGGAATGAAGTAATTCGGAAACTTTACAAATATGAAAGGGTATTTTGAAAGAAAAAATTTTTAAATTATTTTTTAAATTAATTAGATTGTTGACCATTTGGTTGTGGAAAAACAACAAAATCAGCAAAAAGAGGTTAATCAAATTAATTAATTATCGACTGGGCTAATAATTCGACCACCGGTTAAATTTAAAAAAAGCGAGACAATTGCGGTTGCCAAACAAAAGATTGGCACGACACTTTTAACACAAATAATTCGTTAACATATGTTAATCCTATAGCCTATTAAACAATCAAAATGTTTTTGTGATGGGGTAATCATTTATATAGTGCCGATTTTTCTGTTTGAAATTGTCCCAACCGCAATTAACACAACGCCAAAAAATAAAAAAAATAATTTTTCAAAAAATTTTCTAATATTTTTAAGTTGGTTGGAAGAATAGTAGAAAGAACGAGACGTTTTGCAAAATCTTGTGAAGATTGGATTACAACTAAAATTGTAGCTATTTAAACAAATATCTCAATCAATTGACTTTGATTGTGATCCCCTTTATTTTTTTTGATTAAATTGTTTGAAAATTGAAAATGTTTTTATTAACTTACAATTAGAATGACACTTCTAAAATGGACAATTTTTACGGAATTTTAAATTAAGTAACTCAATAAAGACTGCAATTGTGGCGAAAAGAAATAAAAAAAGAAATTGCAAAAATTGTCCACATAAAATAAGTGCAAAATAATTCCAATTATTCTTAACATTTTTAAAAACATAATTGTCGAAATACTTGCCATTTAATCATCATCCAAGTCACACATAGCCCCTCCATCATCGTCAAAAACACAAACAGCCCCAACACCCTCTTCATGGCAAAGACGAGGCCAGTGTTCACGCTTCATTTGCTTCAGAATTATTTCAACTTTCTTCTCGCTAACCAATACCTGAAAAATTTGAATTTTTAATAAATAAAAAATCGGCATGGGGATGAATTGTCCCAAAATACAAAATTATAAAAGACAAACCAAACTCTCGGCAGGCAATATTTCCGCATACAAGTCAAAGTGCCTAACAGTCTCCTTCAACCCAAAACCATGTGCAATAACAACATCAAGTGTAAGACCATCACTTTCAACACGCGTTCCTTGAGGTACAGTAGAGCGAGAGAAAATGCTTAAATGCACATGGCCTCCACGATAAAACCAATCATGGCGAATATCTTCATCAACACGTTGACGCTAAAAATATTTTTTAAAATGATGAGAATTTTGAAAGTGGCCTACTCTTCGTTATTTTCCCTTATTTTAACGCTAACATAAGTCAATGATAGTTGTTCAACATCCACTTTTTGTCACCCAAACCAAAAACCCACCCACTTTTAATTAATCTAGAACAAGGAAAAATAAGGAAATTTTTATTAAAAAACCAACAATAATCCATCGATGAGAGCCTTTAGTACATCCAAGTAAATTTGTCGTTTTACGCCCACAACAAGTCCAATATTGTTGATGATTATGCAACTGTTGATATTGAGTGGCGCTATTATTCGAAACGATAGCGGCGGTAGAGTTTGGGTCACGAGAAGCTGGCAATCCTCGGTGATGAATACAAATTGAATTAAAAGTATTTTTGTCATTGCAAACCTTTAAATTAAAAAAATGGAAAATAAAATTTTTTTTGGATTTTTTTAAATTTTTTACAAGATAACCTCATACCAAAAAGGTACTAGAAAGTTATCCTCACAATTAATTTTTTCCCTCCTTTCTCAAAAGGATTACACAAATATAATTAAAAATATGTATTTTTTTTAATTTTTACCGCAGTACATCCATTATTTTTACAAACGGCCCCAACAAGATTTTCGAAATCCTTTTCATTTTGACGGTCGGGAAATTTATTTGAAGAATATTGACGTCTTTCCAGAACTTTTTGAGCGGCCTAAAAGAAAAATAAATTAATTTTAATTAAATAATCAATTACAGAATTAATAAAAAGTGGAATTAACATTGTCCTTCGCTTTGTTGTTGTTGTAGTCTTTTCTGGAGGTTTAGGCATTTTATGGAAATTTTGAGGAGCAAATCTTTTATTATACATATTAGAGCGAATTAGAAAGTCAAAAAGTAATCTTAAAATTAAAAAATAAGGATTAAAATATGAAGTCAACAGAAGTTGGGTTGAAGTATGACCCAAAATTGGATAGGTCGAACTTTAAAATTCTTAGTTTTTGGCGTAATGATTTTTGAACGACCGGCCACTAGTGTGCCAATTCCAGACAGCTTGATTTTTAGTTTAACAAGCCGAATAAAAATTTCGTATTATTTTTGGTTTGATTGAAGTCTAAAACGAAAGTTTGTTACTGATTTTGACTTTTGAATTTATTATTCAATCTTATTAATAAAATTTCTTAATTTAAGATATACTAACTAATCAATGTCTGATTATAAGGAATTCTTTGAAATTGCACGTCTTTTTGTGGATTATATGGAAGCCGATAGCCATTGTAATAAACAAAGACGTTTTTTGCAGGTATTTTGAATACAAAAAAATTATAAAAATTTCTTTTAAGGAAGGAAGCAAAACTTCTGTGATATTTAGTGATGTTACTCATTTTTTTGAAAATTATTCAAAAAATTATTTTTTCGAAAATACTTCAAAAGAAGACAGAAACAGTTTAGCTTATTTACTTTTTGCTTGTTTGAGAGAATTTTTTATTTCAATTTTTGACGTTAGTTATGATAGAAATGATGGGGATTTACTTATTCGATTGAAAAATGAGCCACTTTTGGATGAGATTATGGTGGGTAGAATTTAATTAATTTTTATATTTAAACAGTTTTGTGAAAATATATGGTGAATCATGGGAAATATTTTTAAAATGGAAAAATTAATTTTCGTATTTACTAAAAGCTATTAGTATTTGGATTTTGGAATAGTTAATATACATAGTAGGCCCTTACAATACTCCTCAATAAGGATGGCAGTTCCTGGGAAATCTCCTGATATCCGAACCGAAAATTTCCGGATATCCGAGGTTTTTTGGTTCCGGATACCCGGCACCACCAACCTTACTCCCCAATACTAGATAACATCAATATAAGTTATGTTTTTTGGGTTATTAGTTTTTTTGGCTAATTAGTTTTTTTAAATTGACTAATACAAAAATTATACATATAACTTCTTTTTTATAGACAACACTTTTCATTAAAAAATACAATTATATTATTGACCAAAAATTGCGAGAAGAATTTGAGAAGGCAATAACTCCATTAACTTCGCCAAGTGGTAGTCCTAAGAATTTGGCTTTAATGTGTAATGGAGATAAATATGGAAAGAAGGAAATTAATGGACATTTAAATAAAACAAAAATTATTTCGACTGATATTGAAAAACTTTTTGAGCAATCTGTGCATTTTCAATGAGTTTCGCAAAATTATTTTTTAATTTTGAAATGTTGCAATTATTTTATAATAAAAAATAATAAAAAATTAATTTGATTATTTAGATGCAACTTTTATTTATTTAAAATATAAACGAGCAGGAGGGGAATTTTAACGAATTTTCTGCTTTTTTAAAAGAAATTTCTATAACAAAAATTTGCTAGTTAAAAAAGCAGAAAATTTAATTCAAGTAAAAACAAACAAAAATTAACAATTTTTAAATATTTTTTGGAGGATTTTCTCTTTCTCTCTCGCTTTCTTAATTTCAACCACGTCGACTGAATTTTAAAAAGCCCAATTCTTTTATTGCCTTGTACTGATCGGGAATCTTAATTAAAAAATTTTTTGTAGAAATGTTTTTTCTATCAACCTCCATTAATGCATTCAGAGCAAAAGATGCTTCTGGATTAGGGGCATTGAACATTACCTAAATAATTTTTAATGTTTTAATTATGCAGGGAAGGAACAAAAATATCCGCAAGTTAGAAAGTTATCTCCCACACGGAATTTTTTTCATCAAATGTTTTCTGGCAGATAAGCTATTCAATTAAGAATTAATTTCCCCAAAATCAGCAATTTTTGTCACCAATTTTTTGATTTTTTATATCTAGAGAATAATCTCTTTCTCTCCTTTATATTTAAAAAAGTCTATTTTCTTGTTTTAAAAATTATCCTCCATGAAAAAATGTTTTGACTTGCAAATAAAAAGTTCGGGGTTTACCGGCATTTAATAAAAATAAATATTTAAAATACTTTATGGAAGTCAACAAAATGGAAATTGTCGAAGAGACGTTTTGGAAGTGTTTCATCAAAACGCGTCATCATATCCCAAGGTCCATCTCCAACACCAACCCTTTTTAATTAGAAAAAGATTTTTTATTCAAAGTTATTGATGTTTTTGTTCAAAAAATATTGAACAAATAAATTTAAAAATTAATTTCTAATTTTACATAATAATGGAGAGAGGGTAACGTGATGCCTGGGCAATTGCTTTTTGATTGATTTTCTCGTTGGTAACCTTAAATTATTTTTTATTTGAGGGAAGTTCAAAAAATTTATTTTTACTTGTCCATCAGCAACAATAACCAAAATATGGTAAGAATGTTTTTCTTCACAGATTTCAATTGCCCTCTCAATTAATGGGACAAAATTAGTAGGCCCACTCATTGAAATACTGTGCATTCTTTCATTGTAAACACGCAATACTTCTTTAAATTAAAAATTTTTTTAATTTTTAATTAACAAAATTGCCTTCAAATCCCAAACAGGAGGCATCAATATCATCACGATCTACCAAATTAAAACAACTTTGGTCAGTTGTCTCCTCATCTCCAAATCCATAAACTGGAATTAACCCATCAGCGTCAAAAGAAAAAAGTGTTTTTCCAACAATTTGTATTACCTTTTTTTAATTAAAAAAAGTTTTTTAGGGGGAAAAATACTTGTTGGTAAGGATTTAATTCTTGCCCTCCATATTCTTCTAAATAATGTAAAGATTTTCCATCAAATGTTCTTTCTCCTTGGTAATAATTAGATCTTGTATAGTCAATTCCAAAAATTAAATTGGAATATTCTAGACCAGCCTTAAATAATTTTATTTTTAATTTATAATGAGAGAGGAGGGGATTTAGGCAATATTCTTAACTAGGACTGCAACACTTAACACTTTTGAACACTTTTGAGGACTTAACACTTTTGAGGATTTTCTTATTTCTCTCAATTTATTTTTCCCCCAATCCATCACTCAAATAAAATTTAACAATAGAAAAAGTCCTCCGCTTTTCATTTTTCTGTTTCTCGAAATTTGCCCAAAACTTTAATTAAATTTAAGACCTCCTTCATTGCATCAATTATATCCTGAAGTGTTTTAAATCGAGGTAAATTATGTGGGCTTCCAATATTTAATGCCATAAGTAAAGAATTCCGACGTACTGGGGCACTAAATAATTTAAAAATATTTTTTTTTGATTTCTAATTTTAAAAATTAACAAAGATGGCGCTTCATTTTGCCTTAATTCATATTTTTCTCTCTGACGGCGTTTTTCTCTTTTCATTGGTTTTTTAATTATTGCCTGTTTTCCTAAAGCCAAATCCTTTAAATATATTTTAATTAATTTATTTAAATTAAAAAAAACAGACTTCAGCGCTAAGTAAGTCCATCTTTTCAGTTACTTCAGCTGCAAAACTAACCCTAAAAATTAAAAAATATTTTAAATCAAGGTTCTCAGTCCCGAAGGGAAAGTTTTAAAAGGATAATTAATTAATCCGTAAGTATTAATACACAGTAGATTAATCAACAACCAAAAGACTGAAAGTATTCAAATAAAATACATATTATAATTTTTCATGTACAGGATTCGAACATTTTCTAAACCAGGATGGGGGTTTAATCCGCTTTCTTATAAAGAATTATTTACTTTATTTAATACCTCTTTTCTCTTGATTCACAACGTTCCCGACTTGCACTCTTTTCGCGCATTACATTACCATAAGCACGTCGAACCCTCGCCCAATCATGGCCTTGTTCTCCTTCAAATAACGCAGCTTCTTCCTGACCCCATCCTTCCTCGCCTTCTTCACCTCTTTATTTTTTAAAATAATTAATTTTTAATTTTACTAAAACAAAATAATTTCTTATTCTATAAATTTTTTTAGTATACTTAATTTTAGTATAAAAAATTAAGAATTCCCCATTCATATTAAAAATACTCAAAAAATATTTCTCACCTTCCTTCCACCATTGGACGATGCCCTTCTTTTGCTTTTTGTACATTTCCATATCCACGTCTCAATCGGGCCCAATCATGACCTTCCTCTCCTTCAAACAATGCAGCTTCATCAAATGCTGCTTCTTCCCCTTCCTCGCCCCTTTAAAGTAAAAAAAAATATTTTTTTTGAAATTTTTCTTTAAAATATTTTTTACCTTCTTTCCAACTTTTGTCTTTCTTTTTCTTTCTGTACATTGCCATAACCTCTTCTTAGACGTACCCAATCATGCCCTTCTTCTCCCTCAAACATTGCAGCTTCTTCTTCTAATGGAACTTCTTCCCCTTCTTCTCCTCTTTAAATTTTGCACATTTTCTTGAATTATCTAAGACTTTTTTTACCTTTCTAATTTCTGTCTCTCCTTTTCACGCTGAACATTTCCATAACCGCGTCTTAATCGAGCCCAATCATGCCCTTCTCCTTCACCTTCAAGAATTGCAGCCTCCTCTTCAGGAGGAACTTCGCCAATTTCGGGTCTAAAATTTAAATGGATTTTAATTTCCATAGTTAAATTTTTAAAAAATCACTTTATAATTGGTTTAATCTTTTCTTGGACTCGAGCTTTTTCAATCATTGCATTTCCATAGCCACGTCTCAAACGTGCCCAATCATGACCTTCCTCTCCCTCAAAAAGTGCAGCTTCTTCTTCACCCCAGCCTTCTTCTCCTTCTTCACCTCTAAAAGATGTAGATTTTGGTATAATCTTTTCTACAACATTCATCAAACCTTTTCTCGATCGGTGGACGTTCTTTAGCTTTTTGAACATTTCCATATCCACGTCTCAACCGTGCCCAGTCATGACCCTTTTCTGCTTCTATTAGTTCAGCAGCTTCACAAACATGTTCAATAGGCTTCTCCAAACGAGGTTCTCGTAGAGATAATTCAGCAAATAAATTCACATCTCGTTTGGCAGATTCTAGAAGACATTCCAATTGTAAAATGACTTCAGAATGCACAGCATTCAACGTAAAAGGGCCAAGCAATTGAATAGCAGGCAGGATATATTGCACATCAAACGGTTGTTCTTCGCCGCGGGAAAGCGCAGCGCCAATGTGGATTTGTTCAGAGCCGGCCTAATTTTTTAATAATTTTTGAATGGGAAAATGGGAGAGAGAAAGCATAAGTACCTGTGTTGTATCAAATCTTTCCTCTGCTTTTCTTTTATCTTCTTTAATCAATTCAGCACCTCCCAAAAATTCTTCACGTTTTAATTTAACTTCTGTTTGTGAATGCCATTCTTCCATTTGTCTAGATCTCAACTCAACTTTCTCATCTTCACGTAAATAAACACGAATAATATGAAGAGGAGCCTCTTCTTCTTGACTAATCTTATTTAACGTGAAGAGTCTTTCACCAGTGTCCATTTTACCAGCTGCGGCACAGTTTAATGTGTAATGACCTCCAAAACGGGGTTCTCGTTTTATTAATTCTGCTTCTAATCCAATAAGTTGAGGTTTTTGCAAAACAATATTTGACCCTAATTGTTGTTGACCTGCTTCTTTTGCTTTAAATATTTGTGGTTCTATTCTATTAATATCTCGAAGAATTAATTGTGTCGAAAGTTCACGGGATTTTGGTTTTTCCAGAAGTTGTTGATATTCAACATTAACATCTCCAGCTATTGAACATAATAATGATACAGGTTCTCCCGTTCTTGGAATGATAATTTTCTTTTCCGGTGCACTCTCCATTGACTCTGGGCGTGACCAATCAAGCAAAGGCACTTCCACATTCTTCTCAATACTTGCCTTAGTTGCGTGAAGGAATTGCCCACCATATCTTGGTTCCCATCTTGTATGATCCGGAGCCTGTACCCATTGATCTGGACGCCTAAGCTGGACATTATTAAGCTGTTCAACTTCTCTACTTTCTGTAACATGAACAGATGGAGTAGGACCTTCCAAAATTCGAGAAGATTTTAATTTAAAAGGCAATGCTGCTACAAATGGTTCTAAACGCTGTAGGGCTGTTGTTGTTGAAATTGTTGTTTCTGCACTTGATTTTGTATTATGAACTGAAGGTTCTGCCTTTCTTTCTAACGGACGTGTACATTCAGCCTCAAGCTGTGTCACAATAGGATTTTCCAATTGTTTGTACAGTGCAATATGGGCATCTCCAGCAGCAAGTACATGTTTTGTGTGAGTTCCACCAAATAGAGAATCCGGCAACACAACTGGAATTTCCAAAATTTGATCATTTTTGTGCCATTGTGTATTTATGTGCTCTTGCTCAGTGGCTGCTTGGTGTGAGTGCAATGGTGCAAGTGAGGGACCGGATCGCGCAATTGGCAAAGTGATCAATGCTTCCATTTCCGCTGGCGGGGCAGAGCGCATTTCTTGTGCCAAAAAGAGCGTTTCTGTTTTTGAGGCCAAACTTCGATATTGAGGTTGAGGGCCAACAAGTGTTTGAGGTACAAAAATAATATTTTCTGAGCTTAATTGTCTTGGACTCTCATCTTTTAGATTAACATCAACAATTGAAGAAATATCTCCAGCCCTCTTAGTATTTTGAATATATTGTCCGCCAAAGAGTGGTTCCCAAACAGTATGATGTGCTTCTTCTGCTTGGTCATCTTTTAAATAAACAGAGCTTAACATAATTGAATGAGCTTGACTTTCTGGAACACGGAATGGTTCTGGCTTTTCTTCTCTTGCACAAATTTTAATTAAAGGCGGTGCTCTTTCAAATTCTGAAGTTCTACTTAAAGCACTATTTAATTGTTGTTGTTCCTTAGAACTTGCTTTACTGCCTAAAATTAACGGCTCTGTCAAGCGTGCAATCCAAAGCACTAATTCTGTCGCTAAATCATTGGGCAAAGGCTTTTTCTTTGTAATCGTTTCTTCTTTTAAATATTCTTCTTTACCTACAGCCTTAGTTCCAAGAATTTCTTTGTTAATACGTGGTTCCCATTTTGTGAAAAATGTTTGAGCAGAGGATGGTAGTTTTGAATATTGAAAGTGAATATTTTCTTCCCTTTCCTTTGCTTCTTTTGTTTTAAGTACATTCTCAGGTCCCCAATTTGGCCAAACACGAGTAAATGTTGTTTCCTCTTTTATTTGTTCACGACACCAACTCTGAGACAAATTGTATTGTTCATGCTTTGGTTCGTTTAAACGCGCTTGAACAGGAGCCAACTCCCTTGCACAACGAATGCAACGAAGAGCCGGAGCTGGAGAAGCATCACGTTGTTTTTGTAGTTGAAAGTGTTGTATAGCATTAATAAGTCCAGTTGCTTTAGAATGAAGAAATACACGGCCACCAAAAGCAGGAATGTGTCGAAGAATTTCTGAATTTTCTATATTATCAGGTTGTTTCCATTGACATGTTATGCTTTCTTCAATTATTGAGGATTCGCGCAATTCACTTTGAGCGCTCAAATGCGGGCGTACCAAATATTTAAATGATGGCGCCGCCTCTGCAACAATTTGGCGCTGTAATGTTATTTGTATTTGTTGCTCAAACGCCTCCGCCTCGCGCATTTTCATTTCTACCCCAGGAAGTTTATTTGTTTCCCAAATTGTTAGAGAGGTGTGTGCTACCCTCAAATGGTCACTTTCCAATTCTCGAAGAAGTGTTAAATATTCATCACTTGCTGCTTCTGTTCTTAATTTTATTTGGCCTCCAAATTGTGCTATCGGCCAAATTCTTTCACTTTCCTTTGTTTGTAATAATTTATTATATTCCAAACAAATATTTGTTTTTAAATCTTTTGCTTCTTTTGTTTTTAATTTATTTTCTTGTCCAATGTTTGGAATAATAAATGTTTTTGTTATTCTTTCATTTTGTTCTAATTTTTGTTTTGATTCCAAAACAACCAAATTCTCTTCTGTAGAAGCTTTTGTTTGTTTAATTATTGATGGATGTTTATTTGGTATTTTAATTAAAATTTCTTTTTTATCAAATTCCTCATCCCTTTTTAATTCTCTAATTATTGTCAATGTAATTAATTCACTAGCTTCTGTATTTAAATTAATTCCAGAAATAATTAAAGGAATATTTATTTTTATTTCAATTTTTTCTTCATTAATAACCATTTTAGGTTTTAATTCATAATTAATTAAAAATTCTTCTTTTGTCGATTCTTTTATTTTAAAAATTTCTGGCAAAATTTCACGTGCCCATTTTCTTTTAATTGCAACTCCAAATGTTTCTGAAGCTTTTTGTAGCGAATAAAAACTTTCTTTTTCTTCCTTTCCACTCTCCAACATTCTCATACTCTTCTCTTCTTTTGTAATATATTTTAATTTTTTTAACAATTTTTCAAAGGCTGGCAATTTATTTAAAGACAAAGTTGTTTGCCATTCTTCTTTTTTTGTTGCTTTTGTATTTAAAATATAATTTCCCCCAAATCTTCTTTCTTCCAAAATTTTTTCTGGAATTGGAAAATATTTTCCATTTTTGTCAAAAACATAAGCTATTTGTGTCTGTTCATCCGCAGCTTCTTTCAATTTTTTAATTAATTTTTCTCCTTTAAAGGCTATCCAATTAACTTTCTCAATTAATTCCTTCTTTTCTTCTTTTTTCCATTCTTGACAAATTATTTTTTGTTCATCTCCAGCAACTTTTGTTTTCATTATTTGAGACTCTTTTAAATATATCGGTATATCTATTTTTGTATCCAATTCTTTAATTATTTTCTTCTGTAATTGTGTATATAAACAAATTTCTTCCTCTTCAAATTCTTCAATTTTAAAGGAAATTGGCCCAAAAATATTTGGCAAAGGTAAAATTCTCTGAGCACTTTCAATTGACAACAATTTTCCTTGGAGACCAAAATTTAATTTAAATTCTTCTAATTGTGCCTCTCCAACTTTTAAATTAATTGCTTCTTTTCTACCAATTTTAATTGTTTTAAATATCCTTTCAAATTGAAATGAACGTGAAAGACAAAATTGGGAAATTAAATTTTCAGAATGTGCAATTAAATAAATTGGGGGGATTTTAATTGTTGTTTTCTCTTTTAAATATAATTCTGCTTTAGAAAAATCTTTTTTTGAAGTTAAACTTTGAAAATCAACAAAAACATTAATTAAACGTTCACTCGTTTCTTTAATTTTTTGTTTTAAATTTTCTTCTCTAAATATTTTAATTATTTTTTGTGTACCAAATTCTTCCTTTCCTTCTTTAATTAAATGTTTCTCGATACTTAAAGGACTTTGAATTTTAAATTTTCTTTCAATTTTTTCTTCTCTTTTCAATTTTAAATTAAATTCAAGCTTTAATTCTTCTTCTGTTCTTTCCCATTTTTCTTCTAAATTTAAAATTTCTTCACTAACTTCTTTTGTTAACAAATTATTAAATTTATTTAAAGGAATTTTAATTTCTTTTTCGATTTCTAAATCTCTTTCAACAATTTTATATTCAGCAATTAATGTTTCTTCTTCTTCTCTAGATTCTTTTGTTTTTAATTTTTGTTCACTTTTTCTAGCTGTTTTTATTTGAAATTCTGTTTTTTCCCAATTTAACGGTTTTTGTAATGTTTCTGTTCTGATTTTTAATTCTTCTTTTGAATATTCTGTTTTTAATAAAGTTGAAAGTAATTGAGAAGTTGGGAATTTCTTTTGAATAGAAAAACTTGGTTGTGAGGATTGCCATTGAATTGTTTGTGTTATTTGTGTTTCTAAAGAATTTAGAGTATTTAATTGTTGTTTTTCTATTTTGTTTTGAATATTAATTAAATGTTGGGCAGAATAAAGCCTTTTTAACATTGGAATTTTAACTAAAAGAATTGAAGTTGTTTTTGTTTCTTTTCCAAATTCTTTTAAATTAATTGAGGGAATTGTTAATTCTTTTTGTTTTTCTGGAAGAATTTTTAAAATAAATTCTTCTTTCCCTTCTTTTTCTCCAATTAAATTACTTTGAATTTTGCTTTGTTCAATATTAAATTTTCTTTTAATTTCTTCTTTTTCTTTCAAAGATTTGACTGTTTTTGTAGAAATTTCTGGAGAAGAAAGTTCAAAAACAGCAGAACCAAAAGTTTTTAGATCACTTGCCGCTTTTGTTTTTATCCATTCTTTTGCCTTTTCTTTTTCTTCTAAATTAGCCCAAGTCCATAATTGAGTATCCACAAAGCTAATATCCATTAAAAGATTATTTTCTTCTTTTAAATATTCTCTAAACCATACTTTTATTTCTTCTAAAGGTTTCTCCTTTAATAATTTAAATGTTTCTTCTTTGCCAATTTTTGTATTAAATAATTGGCATTCTGTTTGGATATTTTCTTTTTTGCTTGAATTTAATTTAAATTTAATTATTTGTTCTAAATTAGCTTTTTTAATTATTTTTTTTTCTTCTTTCTCCTCTTTTCTTAAATAATTTAATTGAATATTTAATTCTTCTGTTTTAACAGCTTTTGTTTTAAATAAATCTTTCCATTCTCTTTTTAATAAAATTATTTTTTCTTTTTCTTCTAAACGTTCACTAATTCCCGTTACTTTACAAAGAAAGGATATTTCTTCTTCTCCCTTCTCTTTTAATTTATCACAAATTATCGGCCCTTCTAAACGAGAATAATCAAAAATTCTTTCAATCCAAATTCCCGGTTGTTCTTTCATTTGAATTTCGTGTTGGGAAGAACTTTTCTCAATTTTAAAATTTCTCGACTCTGTGGGCGTGCCTATAGGCGTTTTTCTTGTTAAATAAACTTTTTCTGTTTCTCCAAGTTTTTGTAATTGTTGGGATTGTTTTAATAAATGTTCTTCTGAAGCTTTTGTTTTTAATTCTTTAAATTCTTCTTCCCCGATAGAAAATGTTTTTCCAATTGTTTCTTTATCTTCTAAAGTATCTAATTGAGCAAATAATTGTCTTTCTTGTTCTTTAATTTCTTTTAAATCTTTTTTAATAATTTCTTTTTTTAAATCCTTCAATGTTTCTTTAATTTCCAATTCTTTTTGTTTTACTTCGAATTTTTGATTAATTTCTAAATCTTCTTTTTTGGGTATTTCTGTTGTTAAAATATCTTTTTCTTTTGTTAAATCCTTTTTAATTATTTGGGTACTTTCAATTAATTCTTTTGCCCCAAACATTTTTATTTCAGTTTCTTTTTCTTCCTTTTTAGCCTCTTTTGTAATTAAATTCTCTTTCAATAAACTTTTCTCGGCTATTTTCTTTTCTGATATTTCTTCTTTAATTGCCTCTGTTTGTTTCTCCCAATGGATTGCTGTAGTCTGTTCGGCACTTTCGATTTTATATTCTCCTAAATTAGATGCTGGATCAGTTGATAGATAGAGGAAAACCAGAAAATATATTTGGCCCCAAAAATTAATTGAAAAAAAATAAAAAGCGTGAAAGGAAAAAATAAAGTGTAGTAATTTTGCAGATAAAAGGAATTTCAGTCTATTTCATAACTAAACCTTAGGATAAATTAAGTCTTAATATGCTTGCTAGGGTTGTCCAGACTTTCATGGCATTTTAGGAAAAATTTTTAAATCAACACATGCTTCCTTCCTATCTAAGACCAAACGGCCTGCCCTATTATTCACGACGGAATCTAATTTTTAGTTTAAGTGATTGTGCAATTGTAAGAAACTGTAAGTGATTTTTAAAGCATTCGTGCTTTAGTGCAAAATTTGTGCATACATTAAATTTATTTTTAGTGATGACTTTTAATTTTTTATCTAATTTTAATGCCGCATTTTTTGCTTTATTTTTTGCCAATTTTTGGGAGCCAAATATATATTTCTGGGTTTTTATTTCAAAATATTATTCCTAAATAGTAACCCCTTTTGGGAGCCTCAGTCGCCGCTTCAGCCGCCAATCTCTGTATCGCCGTCAAAACCCCACTAGCTTTCGCCTCTTCCCCAATAGCTTCTGCTACAGCTTCAATTTCCATTCTTTCATCCCTAGCTGCCCCAGTACTTAAAATTGTAGATATCCCTTCCTCTCTTTTCTTCTGTTTAATTTCTTTTTCAATTTTTTCTTCAAATAATTTTTTATTTTCAAAATTTTTAATAATTAATATATTTTCTTCTTCCTCCTCCTTAATTTTTATATTTATTTTTTCTTCCCCAATTTCTTTTAATTTAATATTTTCTTTTTTAATTTCTTCTTCTTTTATTAAATTTTTAATTATTTCCTTTTCTTCAAATTTAGATTCTTCAATTTTTGTTGATAATATTTCTGTTTTATTTATTTCTTTTTCTTTCTTTTCTATCTGAAAACTTTTTGGTTGTTGAATTACATCAAAACCTAAAACAACTTCTTTTCCTTTTTCTTCCTTCTTTTCTTCAATTTGTTGTTGTTGTTGTTCTAACCACTTTCCAACTTTAAATTCAATATCAGTTTTAGCTTCTTTAATTAATTTTTGTTTTCTTTCTATAGCTACCCCAGTATTTAATTCTTCAAATAAAAATTCTCTTAAACTACAAAATGTTTTAGTTAAAGGAATTTCTTTCAAATAAAAAATATCAGTCTCCACACTTTTTGCCCTTTTCTCAATTTTTTCTGTTTTATTTAATTCTTCAATTTTAAATGTTTTTTCGATAGGTAAAAATTGTTTTAATTTTGAAGTAAAATTTGCAATAGATTCTTCTAATTGTTTTTGTTTAATTATTGAAGTTGTTATTTCTTTTGGAGATTTTATATTTAAATTTTCTTTTAATTGTTGTTTTTCTTCTTTAAATTTGATAAATTCTTTTTCTTCTTTTTCCTCGTCCTTTATTTCTAAAAATACAAATGATGAAGCTCTAGTTTCGCTAAATTCTTTAATTTTAAATTCTACAAAAGTTTCACTTTTCGATTTTTGTAAAAGTTTGGTACTTTCCCATTCCTCTTTTCCTATTAGATTTGCAGAAAATTCTTTTTTCTCATAAATTGAAGATTTTGAAAATAAAAAGGCTTTTTCATGTAATTTTTCCTTTAAATTTAAATCAGCTTTTTCTTCAGAATTTAAATGTTCAAAAATTATTTGACTTTGAATTTTATTGTCTCCAGCTGATTTTGTTTTTATTTTTTCTTCCAATTGTCTTTTCTCTTTAATTTTAATTTCAAATTCTCCCCAAGTTTTCGGTCTCTGATCAAAAAATACAACAGAGCTTGCCCTCTCTTCACTAAATTCTCTCCCAATAAATTTAATTGAAGACTGACTTGCTGATTTAATTATCTTCCTATCACTTTCCCACTCTTCTTTTCCTTGTAAATTTGCTTGGAAATCTTTAATTTCTTGAGTTGAGGGTTTAGATTTTAATATAGACTTCTTTTTTATTTTTTCTTTTAGAGTAAATCCAATAATTTCTGTTTTACTCTTTTGTTCAAAATAAATATTTTGTCCAATTTTTAAATCCCCCATTTCTTTTGTATTTAATTTTTCTTTAATTTTGTATTTTTCTTTTAATTTTATTTCTGATTCTTCCAAGTATTCCTTCGGTTTTTCTATAAACAAAACAGAAGATGCTCGAGATTCAATAAATTCTTTTAATTTTAATGTTACTGAAGACAAACTTTTTGATTTTTGAATTTTTCTAGTACTTTCCCATTCCTCTTTTCCTACAAAATTGGCTGAAAATTCTTTTATTTCTTGGATTGAGGCTTTTGATGAAAGGAAGGTTTTTTCTTGTAATTTTTCCTTTAAATTCTTATAAGCTTTCTCTTCACAGTTTAGTTTTTCTAGAATTATTTGACTTTCAATTTTGAAATCTCCAACTGATTTTGTGTTGATTTTTTCTTCTAATTGTCGCTTCTCTTTTATTTTAAACTCTAACTCTTCAGAATCTCTCGTTCTTTGATTAATAGAAATAACTGAATCAGATCTCGTTTCAACAAATTCCCTTACTTTGAAAATAACTGATGATAAACTGGCTGATTTTTGAAGCTTTCTGGTACTTTCCCATTCTTCTTTTCCTATTAAATTGGCAGAAAATTCTTTTTCCTCATGAAGTGAGGCCTTTGAATACAAAAGGGCTTTTTCTTGTAATTTTTCCTTTAATTTTAAGTCTGCCTTCTCCTGGACATCTAACTGTTCAAAAATCATTTGACCTTCAATTTTAAAATCTCCAGCTGATTTTGTCTTTATTCTTTCTTCCAATTGTCTTTTCTCTTTAATTTTAATTTCAATTTCTTCAAAATATTTTTGCTTCTGATCAATTGATATCGAAGAAATTGCCCTCTCTTCACTAAATTCTCTGCCACTAAATTTAATTGAAGATTGACTTGCTGATTTAATTATTTTATTGGCATCCTCTCCTTCCTCTCTTCCGGTAATTGTTGTCTCGATAATTCTTTTATCTTCAATAGAAGCTTTAGACTTCAATTCAACTTTTTCCTCATTTTTTTCTTCTAATTTTGTATTTATTTCTTCAAAATCCTTTTCTTTTGATGTTAATCCAATTGTTTTTGTAGCCTCTTCTAAACCAAATTCTTTCAATTTTTTGCCTTCAAATATTTTTATTTTTTCTTTTAATATTTTTTCCGCTTCATTCCTTTGTTCAGCTTCTACAAAAATATTTTCTCTTCCAATTTCTTCAATTTCTGAAGAAACACTTTTTATAGGGGCAATAAATACTTTTTCTATTTTTTCTTTTTCGCTAGCTTTAATTAAAATCCCCACGGTCTCTTCTCCCTCTTTCAATAAAGAAATATTCCAAATTGTATTAATTTCATTAATTAACCCTATTTTATTTTTGTAATTTTTTGTTTCTTCACAAATTAATTCAGCTTTTTGTTTTTCTTGTATTTTATCAAGAATTTTAATTTCTGCTGCTGATTTTTCTTTTTCTACAGAATTTAATTGCAAAATTAACTGGGTTTGTTCTTTTCCAAATTCTTTACTTTGGAAGTTTGTAGAATTTTGATTTGGGGATTTTATTAAATTTTGAGCATTTTCTAAGGCTTCTCTACTTGTTGATAAATTAATAAAAGATTGTTTTAATTCAAAAGTTGGGGCTTTTAATTTTTTACTTATTTTGTCAATACAAACTTCTTTAAATAATTTGCCTATTTCTCTTCCCTTTTCATTTTTTTGGTTTAAATTTAATTGTCTTTGAATTATTTTAATATTTTCAACAGATTTAATATTTTCTTTAAATTTTATTTCAATTTCTTTTAAATATTCTGTTGGGTGTGTAAGGGATATAATTGAACTTGCTCTCTCTTCAATTGTTTCTTTTGTTGTAAATTTAATTGTTGATAAACTGGATGATTTTTGTAGTTTTCCAGTACTTTCCAAAACTTGTTTACCTTCAAAATTTAACCAAAACTCTTTTTTCTCCTCAATTGAAGCTTTAGATGATAAACAAGTTTTTTCTTTAGGGGTTTCTTTTATCATTAAAACAGATCTTCCCTCGTCTTTTGGTTTTTCTAAAATTATTTGGCTTTGAAGTTTATCTTCACTAGCCGATTTTATTTTGAGTTTGTCTTGTATTTGCCGTTTCTCATCAAATTTTATCTCTATCCCTTCTCTATTTTTAGATATTTGTTCAAGAGATATAACAGAACTTGCTCTTTCTTCAATTGTTTCTTTTGTTGAAAATTTAATTGATGATAAACTGGCTGATTTTTGTAACAGTTTGACACTTTCACATTCTTCTTTTCCTATTAAATTGGCAGAAAATTCTTTTTTCTCATGAATTGAAGGTTTTGAAGATAAAAGGGCTTTCTCTTGTAATTTTTCATTTAATTGGAAATCTGCCTTTTCTTGGGCATTTAAATGTTCAAAAATCAGTTGACCTTCAATTTTAAAATCTCCAGCTGATTTTGTTTTTATTTTTTCTTCCAACTGTCTTTTTTCTTTAATCTCAATTTCAATTTCTCCCCGAGTTTTTGGTCTCTGATCAAAAGAAATAGAAGAATCAAATCGAGTTTCCCCAAATTCTTTTATTTTACAAATAACTGATGATTGACTTGCTGATTTAATTATTTTATTGGCAATATGTCTTTCCTCATTTCCAGAGAGATTAACTTGGAAATCTTCCTTTTCTGAAGTAGTTTCTTTAAATTTCTTAATTATTTTCTCTTCTCTCTGGTCTCTTAAAAATTTAGATATTTCTACTTCAGATTTTGATTTTTGAAGAAATCCTTCAAAATTACTTTTAATATCTTCAAAAGATTTAATATTTAATTTTTCTAGAATCTTAATTTTGTCTTCAAAATTAATTTTAGTTTCTTTTAATTCTTTTAAGCTTTTAACAAAAGACATAAATGAGGATATTTTTTCTTCTCCAAATTCTTTTAATTTAATTGAAATATTTATTTCACTAGCTGATTTCTGTATTTTTCTAGTACTTTCAAATTCTTCTTTGCCAATAAATTTAGTTGAAAATTCTTTTTTCTCTTGAATTGAAGATTTTGATGATAAAAGGGACTTTTCTTTTGGGGTTTCTTTTATCGAAGATGATGTTTCTTTTTTGTCATTTGATTGTTCTAAATTTATTTCATTTTGTGTTTTGAAATCCCCGGCTGATTTTGTGCTGATTTTCTCTTCTAATTTTCTTTTCTCTTTAATTTTAATTTCAAATTCTTTAAAATCTTTTTGTTTCTGATCAATTGATATCGAAGAAATTGCCCCTTCTTCACTAAATTCTCTACCAAAAAATTTAATTGAAGATTGACTAGCTGATTTAATTATCTTCCTATCACTTTCCCATTCTTCTTTTCCAATTAAATTTGCGGTAAAATCCTTTTTCTCGTGGATTGAGGCTTTTGATGATAAGAAAGTTTTGTCTTGTAATTTTTCCTTTAAATTCAAATCAGTTATTCCTTCAAAATTTGGATGTTCCAAAGCTATTCGACTTTCAATTTTTAACTCTCCGACTGCTTTAGTGTTGATTTTCTCTGCTAATTTCCGCTTCTCTTTAATTTCAATTTCAAATTCTCCCCAAGTTTTTGGTCTCTGATCAAAAGAAATAAAAGAATCAGATCTCGTTTCTCCAAATTCTTTTATTTTGGAAATAACTGATGATTGACTGGCAGATTTAATTATTTTTCTATAACTTTCCCAGTCTTCCTTTCCAATCAAATTTGCTTGGAAATTTTTAAATTCCTCTTTAAATGTTTTTGTATTTATATTTATTTCTTCTTTTCTTTGTTCTTTTATTAATTTAGAGACTTCTGCTTCAGATTTTGATTTTTGCAGAAATTTTTCTTCCTCAATTCTAACATCTCCAAATGTTTTTGTATTTAATTTTTCTTGTATTTTATATTTGTCTGAGTAAACGACTTCAATTTCATTTTTATCTTTTAATTTATTTTCAATATAAATATTTGAATTTAATCCTTCTTCACTCATTTCTCTTCCTTTAAATGAAATATTTGCTTGACTTTTTGATTTTAAAAGACCTTTGACATTTTCTTTTTCTTCTTTTTTTGAAATAATTGTTTGGATTTCTTCCAATTTTTCTTTGGCAACAGCTTTAGTTTTAATGAAAATATTTTCTTTAATTAAATCATTCAAGTAATAACAATATTCTTTTTCAATTTTTGGCATTTTAATTTCCACTATTCTTTGTATATTTAAATCGCTAGCAGCTAAACAATTTTTATTTTCTTTTAAATTTCTTTTTTCGTTAATCAAAATTTCAACTTCCTCCCCTTCTTTTATTTTATTTTCAATACAAACAACAAATTTTAAACTTTTTTGGCCAAATTCTTTAATTTTTAAATTTGCAAAATTTTGACTTTTTGATTTTTCCAATTTATTTATTGAGTATTTATTTTGTTTATTACAAACAAAATTTGTAAATAAAATTTTAGAGTTTAAAGAAGATTCTTTTGATTTTAAATTTATCTCTTCTTTATTTTTTAATTTAACAATTTTATCAATTTGAGACTCAGATTTTGTTGAAAAATTTAAGAAAATATTTTTTTCTATTTTTACTTCTCCAGAAGATTTTCCTTTAAATTTTTCTTGAATTTGGCGTTTCTCTTTTAAATTAATTTGTGTATCTTCCAAAACTTTACAACTCTTTTCTAAAGAAAGAAAAGATCCCGAGTTTTCTTCACTAAATTCCCTGCCTTTAAATTTAATTGAAGATTGACTAGCTGATTTAATTATTTTTCTATCACTTTCCCATTCTTCTTTTCCGATTAAGTTTGCGGTAAAATCCTTCTTCTCGTGGATTGAAGCTTTAAATTTCAAGAAAATCTTTTCTTGAAATTTTTCCTTCAACTTTTTATCAGCTTTCTCTTCAAAATTTGGATGTTCCAAAGCTATTTGACTTTCAATTTTAAAATCTCCAGCTGATTTTGTGTTGATTTTCTCTTCTAATTTTCTTCTCTCTTTAATTTCAATTTCAAATTCTCCCCAAGTTTTTGGTCTCTGATCAAAAGAAATAGAAGAATCAAATTGAGCTTCACCAAATTGTTTTATTTTGGAAATAACTGATGATTGACTGGCAGATTTAATTATTTTTCTATAACTTTCCCAGTCTTCCTTCCCAATCAAATTTGCTTGGAAATTTTTAAATTCCTCTTTAAATGTTTTTGTATTTATATTTATTTCTTCTTTTCTTTGTTCTTTTATTAATTTAGAGACTTCTGCTTCAGATTTTGATTTTTGAAGAAATTTTTCTTCCTCAATTATAACATCTCCAAATATTCTTGTATTTAATTTTTCTTGTATTTTATATTTGTCTGAATAAATGACTTCAATTTCATTTTTATCTTTTAATTTATTTTCAATATAAACAATTGAATTTAATCCTTCTTCACTCATTTCTCTTCCTTCAAATGAAATATTTGTTTGGTTTTTTGATTTTTGTATTTTTCTAATATTCTCCATCTCTTCTTTACCAAGTAATTTGGTAGAAACTTTTTCTTCCTCGTAAATTGGGACTTTAGTTGATAAAACATCCTTTTCGTTCCTTTTTTCCTTCAAAATTAAAGATGAGATTCCCTCATTCTGTAATTTTTCCATAAAAACCCCTTCTCGAATTTCATTATTTTGAAGTTCTTGTGTGTTCATTACCTCTTTTAATTGTCTCTTTTCCTTTAAATTAATTTCAAATTCTTCAAAATCTTTTTGTTTCTGATCAATTGATATCGAAGAAATTGCCCTCTCTTCACTAAATTCTCTACCAAAAAATTTAATTGAAGATTGACTTGCTGATTTAATTATCTTCTTTGAATTTTCCCATTCCTCTTTTCCTACAAAATTGGCTGAAAATTCTTTTAATTCTTTGATTGAGGCTTTTGATGAAAGGAAAGTTTTCTCTTGTAATTTTTCCTTTAATTTCATATCAATTTTTTCTTCAGAATCTGGATGTTCCAAAATAATTTGACTTTCGATTTTAAAATTTCCAGCTGATTTTGTTTTTATTTTCTCATCCAATTCTCTTTTCTCTTTAATTTCAATTTCAAATTCCCCAGAATCTTTTGGTCTCTGATTAAAGGAAATAATCGAATCAAATTTTGTTTCAATAAATTCCTTTAATTTAATTGAAATATTTATTTCACTAGCTGATTTTTGTATTTTTCCGGCATTTTCCCATTCTTCTTTTCCTAGTAAATCTAAACTTAAATTTGAAGCTCTTAAATTGAAATTCATTTTCCCTTCTTGTTTTTCTTTTAAATTAAAAGATGCCTTTTCTTCGGTACTGGGTTTTTTATAAACTATTTTCTCTTCAATTTTACAATCTTCAAAAGCATTTATGTTTATTTTTTCTTTTAAATGCCTTTCCTCTTTTATTCTAAACTCAACCTCCTCCCTGTCTTTTGGTCCTTGTTCAATAGAAATAACTGAATCAGATCTCGTTTCAACAAATTCCCTTACTTTGGAGATAACTGATGATAAACTGGCTGATTTTTGAAGCTCTATGGTACTTTCCCATCCTTCTTCTCCAATTAAGTTCACTGTAAAATCTTTTTTCTCGTAAATTGGGGCTTTGGCTGACAAAAAGGATTTTTCTTTTAATTTTTCCTTCATATTCAAATTTGTATTTTCTTCGGCAAATAATTTTTCAAATTTTATTTCCCTTTGTGTTTTGATATCTTTAATTGCTTTTGTGTTGATTTTCTCATTCAATTTTACTTTCTCCTTAATTTCAATTTCAGAATCTTCAAAATCTTTTTGTCCGTGATAAAAGGAAATAACAGAATTTGCCCTTTCTTCACTAAATTCCCTGCTTTTAAATTTAATTGAAGATTGACTAGCTGATTTAATTATCTTCTTTGAACTTTCCCATTCTTCTTTTCCAATTAAGTTTGCGCTAAAATCCTTTTCCTTGTGGATTAAAGCTTTTGAAGAGATGAAAGTTTTTTCTTGTAATTTTTCCTTTAATTTCATATTTGCTTCTTCTTCAAAATTTGAACGTTCCAGAGCTATTTGACTTTCGATTTTTAAATCCCCAACTGCTTTTGTGTTGATTTCCTCTTCTAATTTTCTTTTCTTGATTTCAATTTCAAATTTTTCGGAATTTTTTGGGTTCTGATTAAAAGAAATAACCGAATCAAATCTATTTTCAATAAATTCCTTTAATTTAACTGAAGTATTTATTTCACTAGCAGATTTTTGTATTTTTCTGGTACTTTCCGATTCCTCTCCAAGAATTAAATTGGCAAAAAATTCTTTTTTCTCGTAAATTGGGGCTTTAGTTGACAAAAGGGATTTTTCTTTTAACATTTCCTTCAAATTCAAATTTGTATTTTCTTGGGAAAATAATTTTTCGAAATTTATTTCCTTTTGTGTTTTGAAATCCCCAACTGCTTTTGTGGTGATATTCTCTTCTAATTTTCTTTTCTCCTTAATTTCAATTTCAAATTCTCCCCAAATTTTTGGTCTCTGATCAAAAGAAATAGAAGAATCAAATCGAGTTTCCCCAAATTCTTTTATTTTGGAGATAACTGATGATTGACTGGCAGATTTAATTATTTTTCTATAACTTTCCCAGTCTTCCTTTCCAATCAAATTTGCTTGGAAATTTTTAAATTCCTCTTTAAATGTTTTTGTATTTATATTTATTTCTTCTTTTCTTTGCTCTTTTACTAATTTAAAAACTTCTGCTTCAGATTTTGATTTTTGAAGAGATTTTTCTGAAATAATTTTTTCATCTCCGGCAGATTGTGTATTTAATTTTTCTTGTATTTTATATTTGTCTGAATAAATTACTTCAATTTCATTTTTATCTTTTAATTTATTTTCAATATAAATAATTGAATTTAATCCTTCTTCATTCATTTCTTTTGATTTAAATGAAATATTTGTTTGACTTTTGGATTTTTTTATTTCTTGAATTTCTTCCAAATTTGTTTTTCCAATTAAGTTGACAATAAACTCTTTTTCCTCATAAATTGGGGCTTTAGTTAATAAGAGAGCCTTCTTATCCCTTTTTTCTTTCAAATTTAAAGATGATATTTCCCCATCTTGCAACTTTTCCCAAACTAACTCTTTTTGAATTTTAATATCTCCAGCTGATTTTACTTTGATTTTTTCTTCCACTTTTTGTTTCTCCTCAATTTTAAACTCAGACTCTTCAAATATTTCTGGGATCACCAGATTAGATGATATAATTGGACTTGTTTTTTCTTCAATAAATTCTTTAACAATAAATTTAGTTGAAAATTGATTAGGGGATTTTAATATTTTTCTACAACATTCATTCACTTTCTTTCCTCCTGACATTTTTACTTCTATTATTACATTGTTTAAAACAATTTTACATTTTTCTGCCTCAACTTTTGGATATTCTTGTACTATTACCAAATTATTTAATATTTCAATTCCCTCCTCTATCATCTCTTGATTTTCTCCCTCAACATTATATTCCCCTTCCTCCTTTACCCATTTTTTAAAGTCAACAACAACCATTTCCTTTTTAACATCACCCAAATTTTCATTTAATATATTGATTTCTGTGCTTTTTTTGATCGCTTCTTTAATTTCTAAATTTCTTGATATAATAGTATGCGGCGTTATAACTTCAATTTTCTCTAAAATATTTTTATTTATTTCCCAGCTCACTAATTTAATTGTTTTTCCTAGCTTATAATCTTGTGATTTTTGTAAATTAAATACAAAATTTTCTTTTCCTTCTTCATCCTTTTTAACTAAAAATACATTTACAAGCTTTTCTTCCAATTTTCCATTTAGTATTTTTAATTTTTCACCATTTAAATAATTTATTTCCTTCAAATTAACCTCTACTTCTTCAAAAATATTTAAATTTTTAATTAAATTAATTATTGCATTTACTTCTATTTTATTAAATTCTTTAATTTTTAATTCTGCCAAATTTTTATTTTTTAATTTATTTAATTTTGTAATACTTCCCCAGTCTTCTTTAATTGTTAAATTTATATTTAATTCCTTAAATTCATTTTTTGTTGATTTAATCGAAAATAAATATTTTTCTTTAATTTTTTCATTAATCTTTATTAAAGCATTCTTTATATTTTCTTCATTATTTTCAAAAATAAATTGAATATTTATTTCAGAATATTCTGATTCTTTTAAATTTATTTTCTTCTCTAACCAGCTCTTTTCTTTTATTTTTTCTTCAATTTCTCCAAAAATTTTTGGAAATTTTTCAATAAAAATTGTTGAGAAAATCTTTACTTTTTCCAATTCTTTAATTTTAAATTTAATTTTTAATTTATTTTTTTCTTTATTTAATTTTTTTATTTCTTCTTTTTCTTCTTTTCCAAATAAAATTATTTGTTGTAAATTGTAAATTAATTTTAAATAAATATTTTCTTTTAATTTTTCTTTTATTAATTTAAATATTTTTTCTTCACAATTTGATTTTTTATAAAAAATTGTTTCTTTAAAAATATTAATATTTTTGGAGGACTGAGTATTTAATTTTTCTTTTAATTTTATTTTGTCTAATAATTTTATTTCTTTTTGTTTTGAATATTCTGATTTTTTAGAAAAAGAAAAAATTGAAAAAGCAGAACTTGAATTAGAAGAATTTTGTGTTTTTCTGGAATTCTGGAAATCTTTGTCTTTTTCGAAAAAATTGAATGATTCTTTTTCCTCGTAAATTGGGGCCTTAGTTGATAATTTAAACTTCTCATTACTTTTTTCCTTCAAAATTGAAGATGAGATTCCCTCATCCGGTAATATTTCCATAACTATCCCTTCTTCAATTTTAAAATCTCCAGCTGATTTTGTCTTTATTTTTTCTTCTAATGGTCTTTTATCTTTTATTTTAATTTCAACTTCTTCAAAATCTGTTTGTTTCTGATTAATTAATATCGAAGAACTTGCCCTCTCTTCACTAAATTCTCTCCCAAAAAATTTAATTGAAGATTGACTTGCTGATTTAATTATCTTTCTATCACTTTCCCATTCTTCTTTCTCGTGTAAATTTGCTTGGAAATCTTTAATTTCTTGAGTTGAGGGTTTATATTTTAATATTGACTTCTCTTTTATTTTTTCTTTTTGAGTAAATCCAATAATTTCTGGTTTACTCATTTGTTCAAAATAAATATTTTGTCCAATTTTTAAATCCCCCATTTCTTTTGTATTTAATTTTTCTTTAATTTTGTATTTTTCTTTTAATTTTATTTCTGATTCTTCCAAGTATTCCTTCGGTTTTTCTATAAACAAAACAGAAGATGCTCGAGATTCAATAAATTCTTTTAATTTTAATGTTACTGAAGACAAACTTTTTGATTTTTGAATTTTTCTAGTACTTTCCCATTCCTCTTTTCCCACAAAATTGGCTGAAAATTCTTTTAATTCTTTGATTGAGGCTTTAAATGAAAGGAAAGTTTTTTCGTTTAATTTTTCCTTTAATTTCTTATCAGCTTTCTCTTCACAAATTAGTTTTTCTAGAATCATTTGACTTTCAATTTTGAAATCTCCAACTGCTTTTGTGTTGATTTTTTCTTCTAATTGTCGCTTCTCTTTTATTTCAATTCCAAATTCTTCAACATCTTTCGGTCTTTGATTAATAGAAATAACCGAATCAGATCTCGTTTCAACAAATTCTCTTATTTTGGAAATAATCGATGATAAACTGGCTGATTTTTGAAGCTTTGCAGCATTTTTCCATTCTTCTTTTCCTATTAAATTGGCAGAAAATTCTTTTTCCTCATAAATTGGAGCTTTTGAAGGCAAAAGGGATTTTTCTTGTAATTTTTCCTTTAATTTTAAGTCTGTCTTTTCTTGCTTATCTAACTGTTCAAAAATCATTTGACTTCCAATTTTAAAATCTCCAGCTGATTTTGTTTTTATTTTTTCTTCCAATTCCCTTTTCTTTTTAATTTTTATTTCAAATTCTTCAAAATCCTTTGGTTTCTGATCAACTGATATCGAAGAACTTGCCCTCTCTTCACTAAATTCCCTGCCTTTAAATTTAATTGAGGATTGACTTGCTAATTTAATTATCTTCCTATCACTTTTCCATTCTTCTTTTCCAACAAAATTGGCTGAAAATTCTTTTTTCTCGTGAATTGAGGTTTTTGATGAAAGGAATGTTTTTTCTTGTAATTTTTCCTTTAATTTCTTATCGGTTTTTTCCTCAGAATTTAGTTTTTCTAGAATTATTTCATTTTTAATTTTATAATCACTGGCTGATTTTGTATTTATTTTTTCATTCAATTTTCTTTTCTCTTTAATTTCAATTCCAAATTCCTCAGAATCCTTCGATCTCTGATCAATAGAAATAACTGAATCAGACCTCGTTTCAATAAATTCTTTAATTTTAGAATTAATTGCAGATTGGCTAACAGATTTTGTTATTTTTCTAGCACTTTCCCATTCTTCTTTCCCAATTAAGTTTGCAATAAAATCCTTTTTCTCGTAAATTGGGGCTTTAGTTGCTAAAAAGGATTTTTCTTTTAATTTTTCCTTCATATTCAAATTTGTATTCTCTTGGGCAAATAATTTTTCGAAATTTATTTCTTTTTGTGTTTTGAAATCTTCAACTGCTTTTGTGCTGATTTTCTCTTCTAATTTTCGCTTCTGTTTAATTTCAATTTCAAATTCTTCCCAATTTTTTGGTCTCTGATCAAAGGAAATAGAAGAATCAAATCGAGTTTCCCCAAATTCTTTTATTTTGGAAATAACTGATGATTGACTGGCAGATTTAATTATTTTTCTATAACTTTCCCAATCTTCCTTTCCAATCAAATTTGCCTGGAAATTTTTAAATTCCTCTCTAAATGTTTTTGTATTTATATTTATTTCTTCTTTTCTTTGTTCTTTTATTAATTTAGAGACTTCTGCTTCAGATTTTGATTTTTGAAGTTCGTGTTTGATAGAAATAACCGGAAATTCTTTCACTTCACTAAATTCTTTTGTAATCGACGATTGTCTTGAAGATTTCATTATCTTCTTTAAAATTTCCGATTCATCTTTTTCAGTCAATAGTTCCTCCCCCTCTTTTTCATTAATTTCGTCTTCTTCAAATAATTGAACATCTACATATTTCGTTAACCATTCCTCAACTTTTATTTGACTATCAATTACTTTTTTTGGTTCATTTTTCACAACAGCTTTTATTCGAAACACGAAATCTTTTTCTGATTCGAAAACTTTAGCATCAAACCCTAATATTTTTAAAGAAGGTGAAGAATGTTGTTTTTGTTCTTTTAATTCTTTTTCCTCTTCAGAACTAATTTTTGAAATTTCAGAATTTATTCCAACAGAATCTAAAGAAGAAGAACTTTTATTTTTTTCTTCGGGTATTTTAATAGTTCTTTCAGAAATTGGCGAAATTAATTGTTGATTTTGTTCAAGTAACATTACAGAAACTTGTAAAGATTCTTCAGGATGATAAATTTGTAATAAATTAAAATTATTATTTTCTTCTCCCTTTATTTCTTCTTTTAAAGGTACAAAATACTCTTCAATATTTTCTAAATTCTTCTCTAAAATTTCATTAGAAGCAAAATCTTTAGAATTTTCTTCTAAATAAATGGGAATATTTAATTCTTCAATAATTCCCTTTTCTTCAAAAATATTTTCGTTAATCTTTAAATATTCACTTTGAAGGAAAGAGGTTTCAGTAAACCCAGAATCTGATCTTTTTTTAATAAATTCTTCATTATCTACTTTATTTTCTTTTATTTGACCCAAAACTTGTGTTTCAATTCCCAAACGGATTTTTACTTCCTCTTTAAATGATTTTAACATTTTCTGCACATTTTGGGCTGAAAAATCATTCCTCGTTTCTGTAACCGAATTTTGGATAAATTTTCAAAAGAATCCCTTTAACTCTTTTATTTTTTTGAGAAATGTATCAAAATAATTACAAAAATAAAAATAAACCAATAAAAATTTTTGATAAATATTTTTTATAATTCTACTCAATTTTTGGACTAATTTTACTAAGCGAAATTTTAGCACCTTAGAGCATTTTTTGCCTTTTTAAAATATTTTTTTCGCAATATATTTTTATTTTGTATTTGGAAGCTTTTACTCGCCTCTGCTGCTGCTTGGGGAGGAGACCGCGGGTATTTCTCTACGCTCATACTTATAATTTTTAAAAATATTTCTTTATAAATTTGCCTACCAGTTTCAATTTCAACAGGTGCAGCAACATATTTACTGATGCTGACTATTTGTTCTTCTTTTTGTTCTTCCAAAACTTGTCCTTCCCAACTTTTGTAAACTTTCTTCTTTTCTTCTATGGTCATTGTACCTTGGTCTTCTTGACAAGTTCCAAGTGTTTGGACGTACATTTCGTTTGTTAATTTTCTCAGTTCATCAGCTGAAACTGTCTGCATCAATTTTGTTGGGCCTTCCATTTGAGTTTCTCCAATAGACATTTCTTGTCTTACGCCAACTGATTTTGGCATTAATTGAATTTCTTCTGAAGAAGTTATTTTAGAAGCAATCTCTCTAGGTGTTGATTCTGACTTTATAGTACGAAGGAGAGGCTTTTCTGCCTGAACAGCTTGATGTTTCTGTTCTGGACTTTCAGTCTGAGCTATTCTTCCTTCCATCCAGGGAGAAGCTTGAATAGCCTGGCAACTTTGTTGTGGACCTTCTGATTGTGTTCCACGTCCAAATAGTTCAACAATCTCAGATTGAACTTCTCTCCCTTTTAATACAGTTCTATCCATCTGAGTACCTCTTGCTTCAAGAATTGCCTGTTCTGATTGTGTTGACATTTCTAATTGCTGAATTACTGGTGTTTGAAGTAATCGACTTGAGATAGTTGGTTTTACTTGTACTTCTTGTGTTATATGTTCAGGTACTTCCATTTGTACAGATTTTTCTCCAAGTGCAGGTCCAGCCTGTATTGTACATTTTCCAAGTGCAATCTCTTCTACTTGAGTTTGTCCTGCAGCTTGAAGAACTTTTTCAGATTGAACTGCTTGGACTTGAAGTTGAGGTCTATCCATTTGGGTTCCTTTACTTTCTACTATTTCCTTTTCTGTTTGAAATTCTTTCCCTTCTAATGTTGGTTTTGCTTGTGTTTCTTTTGTTTGCTCTTCTTTTTGTACTGATTGAACTGTGCGGTCAGTAATTTTTGTTATTTCTGATTGTGTTTCCTCTTCTTTTAGTTGTGTTAAATCAGTTTCACTTGTTTTTAATCCAAATTCTGGACGTGTTTGGAATGAATGTATTTGGCGTATTTCAACTTCTGATTGAACTGCTCGAACTTCTGTTTTTGGCATTTCTACTGTTTGTATTGTTCTCTCTTCAGTACTTGCCCTCGGCGATTGTAAATCCTTAGATAACATTTCAGGCTGTCCCTGTACTGATTTGGCACCTTTTTGTGCCCTTTCTGATTGCACAGATTGTGCTCTTCTCTTTGGAAGTTCAATTTTTGGCTGTTCTACTTCAACAGTTTTTGAACCTGTTGGAACTTCTTGTGTTTGTATAGCCATTAATTGTTGCTCTATTCTCTGTGCTTGTGTTGTTCGAGCAGTAAGGGAAGGAAGACTTACACCAATTGTTCTTCCTCCTTTTTTTATCATTTCTTCTGTTTGAGAAGCATCTTCTTTATTTTCTTGTTTAGTTTCAACAGTTTGTACTTCCCTTTTATTTAATTCTTGTTTTGCTTGAATTTCTTTTGTTTCTGTTATTTTACCTTCTGTTTGAGAAATTCTTTCAAATTGTTCTGTTTTAAGTACTTGTATTGCCTTATCTCCTAAAGAAGGTAATTCTACTCCTATAGTTTTCTCTCCAATTAAAGGCTTTTCAGATTGAGTATATTTTATTTGTTCTTCTTTTAAAACTTGAACTGAACGAATTTCTTTAGGTTGAGGTAATGCTTGGACAGATTGTTGCCCTATCTTTGGTTTTTCTTCCATTTGTGTTGAATTCCCGATCATTTCTTTTTGTTCAGTTTGTATAATTGCACCAAGTAATTGAGGCTTTTGAATTGTTTCAATTACTTGAATTGTTCTATCTTCTCTCCAAGGCTGTTCTAATTGAATAGATTTAGCTCTTTTTGGAGGTCCTTCAACTTGAATATCTCTTTGGGCTATTTTCTTTTGTTGTTCAAATGTCGAAATAGATGGTATTGGTCGTGGTTCAGGTAAAGATTCTACCCAAGTTGCGCTCGCTTTAATTGATTCAGCCAAACGCGCATCGCTTTCTTTTGTTGTTGGAAGTGCCACAAAATGGGACACGGCAAAACGTTGTTTCTCAGATTCGTGAATTGTGGTGCTGGTGCTTTGGTGAACAAAAACACTCTCGAGGGGAGAAACAGCGCGAGGCGAGAGAGGCGGAGGAAGCGGCGGCACAGGCCGCTCCTCTAGGCCGGGCGGAGGGGCCGACCAATGAAAACGAAGCTCGGAACCTGATGAAATAAATGTTTAAAAATTGTTTTATTTTTTTATTAGAAACCGATTAAATTATTTTTTAGTCCAAAATTACCCAAAAATGAAGAATGCTCTTATTTTTGCATTTTTCTGAATTTTGTTTAATTTAAAAGTAATTTTAAAGAAATTTAAAATTAAAGAAAATTATATACACTTTTTACTCTTGTACGCTTCGATTTCCCCTCCGCCCGTTAATTTCTACTTTTTCTAGCTTCTAGCTTTCTACTAAATATTTAAAATAGCTTTCTAATTTTTTCTATTTAAAAGAAAGTTGCATCTAAAAAAGCTTTTTTCTACTAAAGCTTTCTGCATTTTTGGGTAATAAAGCTTTGTGATATTAAAAAAGCAGGAAATTTGTTAATATGTTTATTTTTAATTTCTAAGTGAAAATTAATAGAAATCTAATTGAATTTTATTTACACGGCAATTTATACACAAAAATTGTTAAAGCAGTCGTGAAAAAAAGAAAACGTTAGAGGTTGAAGAAAAAGATTCTTTTTGACTACCTGAAACAGAGTATCCCCAATCTGCAGTTGTTTGTTCTCCCATAGCGCTTCTATGTTCCATTAAAACAGAACAATGTTCATCTTGAATAGAAAATTCACGAATATTCTGACGAATCTACAGAAAAAGAAATTAAATTAAAAATTGTTTAAAAATTAATAATTTCCAAATTTCTGTTAAACAAATTTCCAATTACAGTTACTATAGTAAATTACCCCCAATATACAAAAACCTCAATTTAAGATTTTTTAAATTTGAAAGCGGTCTAAGCGACACTTCCAATATAAATTGTTGGCTATAGTATTGAATTGAATATAAACTCAATATAACAAAAAACTAATATTAGACTAGGTACATATATTTTTATTTCTATTACTATACGTATTTCCCCAAAAATTCAAAATTATAATAACCATATCCATTCTAGGTAATCTAATAGGCCTAGATTCGACACTAAATTGTGAATTTTCATATTCTTTTCTTTCTAAATGAACATGTTGAGTTAATTGAGACATTTGTTGGGCTATAGTATTGAATTGATGTCCATGTGATTCTCTTCTTTCATTTAATATTTTAAATACATCTGGAGCTACTAAAAGACGTCCAGAAGCTCCTGAATAAAATTTGTATAAATGTAATCATTTTATATCATAAAAAGGATTGTTTCTACACTTGATATTATTAAAATATTTTTTAATAAAAATCCCTCCTAAATAATAAGAGTGTCCTTTTATTGTCCATCTATACATATACATACAACACCTTAGATTCCCCAAAAATTTTTTTCTTGCAAAAGGATTTGGTTTAATTTAAAATTTTGAATTAATTTTAAAAAATATTAATTTTAAAATGTCAAAGTTCCTGGAATTTAAAATGATAAAATCTCCGGATATACATATCTGCCTTCGATTAAATTTCTCTACAAATAGATTAAAAACTAACCAATACTCAAACTGAGATTTACATTTTCTGAAATAAATTCTGTTGCAAAAAAAGGTGCAATTCTTTCAATATTTATTGCTTTATTTAATTTTTCTGTTAAAAAATCCCTTTTTCGAACATCACTTTCAAAAGCACAAAATAGTGTTATTTGTGATGATTGTTGGGCAATTGTATTAAAATTGGCAATTAAATTATTTGAACATTTTTGGATTATTTCAGAACGAGCCTTTAAAAATTTATGGAAATTTAAAAAAGGTTTAGAAGGCCCTACTTCTTCTATTCTTTCCTTTTCAATTGTTTTCATAAATTCCATAGCTTCATAAAGCTGTTTTGGACGTTCAAAGGCTTTTAATGACGGCAAAGGAATAATATTCCATTTATTATCACAAACAATAGTTAATTCAAAAGAGCCTTTATCTTCTTTTCTGACCATATTAACATGAGTAATCCCTCCACCTGAAAAAATAAAGTTTGTTAGATTATTTGCTAGTGACAGAATAATTATTCTTCTGTTGCCTCTTGTATCGTATTTGTCCGGTGAGACTTTTCCCTTCCCGACTTGTTATGTTTTCTTGTTATTTTACTGAAGGCAATTAGGCACTTTTTAAGTTTAGCGGTAATATTATACCAACAAAGTACTGAACGGATATATGAAAATTTCGATACTTATCGTTATCGGTACTTTTCTGGAATCAAAAAAAGTCCTTTGCCAGACACTATATGGAAAGTCCGCAGATTTTTATCAATTAGCAGAAAAGTATCTTCAAAAACATTCTTTTCTCACCGGCTCTTTCTTCGTAATCAATTGAAGTTTCAGATTCATAACGTTTCATTGGGCGTAATCTATCCATTCCTTCAAGTAATTGTCCACTCATTTCCATAGAATATATTCCTTGTTTAGGTTCTGTTGTTGTTGTTGCCCCATAAGAAGAAACACTAGATTCTTCAGAATATACACGGCCCTGAGTACGAAGAAAAGCTCGGCCTTCGTGGTGTTGACCAGCTAATTGATAATCAAAGGAAGTCCCCAAAGCCTTAAAATCCTCTTTAAAATAAAAAAATTATTTTTTAATTGCCTCATGAACATTTATTTCCTTTCTTTGTTGTTCATGTAACCGTTCATGTACTTGCAAAAGTTGTTGAGGTAATTCTGTAGTTACTTCAATTCTTGGGGGTGCATTAATTAATATTGGGGGTGTTTCTGTTAATTCGAGACTTTCCTCTGATTCAAAACTTTAATTTAAAAAAAATAAAAAAATTATTTTTTCATTCCCCCTTACCGGCTTGTCTTAGCTAATCTAGTTATGTCATGATATCTTCTTCCCTGCCTTTCATATCCATAACCAGCAGCCATTTGTTGTTGTTGTATACGCCTTCTTTTAGCTTTATGTAAACGTAAAATAATTGTTAAATGTTGAAGTAAGGGGACAGCTATATAAACTTCCATTAAAGAACGATCTTCTCTTCGTTGTAATTCACAATCAACCTATTGAATTTTTAGAAAATTTCTTTTTAATTTTTGTGTTTTTACAAGAGCTGCAGCCTCAGGTGGAGGTTTAGGTACAGATTCAATAGATTCTTCTGACATTTCTTCTGCAGCTCTATGTTGTATACCAATTCTAGCTTTATCTTCAAATAAACGCCCTTCCTGCATTAAACGAATATCTCTACGTTCTAATTCTTCTGGTTCAAGCTGGTCTATATAAACACGACTTTCTAATTCTATTGGGCCTTTAAAAAAATAAAAAAATATTTATTTAAAAAATAATTTACCTAATTCACTTAAATGGTCAGATGCTGATTCATAAGCAAATTCTTCGACTGGCGGTGCTAACATTGTAGGCAACTGGACGGGGGCTGGTTGCTCCTCCTCCTTAATTTTTTAAAATAATTATTTTAATATTCTCCTTCCAACCTTTGGAGCAGCTAGTCCAATTCGATAAGTCTTTACAATATCAGTTACATCCTCTATACATTCAATCTCAACACGAGTAACTGCCGTAATTTGCTCTTGCGAATCATCTAGTGATGCCAAATCAGAAAGTAAACGTTCACTTAATTTAGCCAAATAATCTGGTTTGCTCTAAATTAAAAAAATATTTTTTAAATTCCTCTCTTTTTTTCAAACAATATTTTCTGGTAATTGAATATCTGCTTCGTGTGTTCCAATTTCTTTTCCGTCCTCAAAAACTGAAAGTCGGTAAGTACCACTTGAACGGACCGTTGGTGGTCCCTTTCCTCCATCTTCCCCAATTTCAGTTTTTTGTATTTCTTCAATTAATAATTGCCTTTTACCTTTAAAATAATTAAATTTTAATAATCAAAAAATATATTTATTTACCAATAATTGTTCGAATTCTATAATGTGTTAATGTATCCCTAACTGTATATGCCTTGGCTATTTCGTGATCACAACGAATTAAATGTGATCCAACAGATTTTTCCATTTTTAATTTTCCTTCGACTGTTGTTTTTACAACTGGGGGTAATGGTCTTTTTTGTTCTGTTTCGAGTACATGTTCACGCTCTACATGTCGATGAATAAAAATATGATCTGGTCCTTCATCTATTTATTTTTTTTAAATTATTAATTTAAATCTAGTAAATAACCCCCATCAATAACATTTTCTTCTTCTTCTCTTTTTCCATTCTCTGGCCCAGGCCGGTGGCCATCCCCTCCTCCAGCTACAATTCCACTCTCAAATTGTTCAGACATTGTTGGTATTTGTGGCCATGGTTGCCCAGAAGCAGGTCGAGTCAATCCAGCAAAAGGAGCAGTGGAACGACGTCCTCTAGCAGCAGCACCAGTCGTCGCGCTTACTGTATCTGGAGAGATTTCTCGAGTTATTGGTGTTTGTTGCTGTTGACGAGAAATAAATTGTTGAGGAACGCGAAAACGCTATAAAAATATTTTTTAATGAAATAAAATTTATTTTGCCTGCATCTGACTTGTAGAGGCTGCCTTTTGCACATTACGACCTCCTGTAAATTTATTAAAAGAAACTGGCTCTTCAGAAAGTCGTAACAAGTCCCGGGCTGCCTCATCCAAAGCAGCCCCCGCCTCTTCTGAACTAGTCGAATGTTGTGGACCTCCACCACCAATACCTCTTTGCCATTGTTTTGTTGGAGTACCCCCTAGATTGCCTATACGAGTATTTACTGTTGAGGGTTTCTTTAAAAGGAAAACAATACAAAATTATTTTTTTAGAATTATTTTGCCTGTTGTGGATGTTGTGTTGGTGGTTGATAAACACCAAAATTTCCTCCAACTCTTGTATTACTTCCAAGTTGTGGTATTGTATAAAGAGATTGAGAAATTGTTTGTTGTTGTTTTTGAGTTGGAATTTGATGGAAAGGTACTCGAGTCTTTAAAAGAAAAAATTTTTTTAATTTCTTTTAAATTAAAATAATTATTGCCTGTTCACTTTCACTTCTTTGTTGTTGTTGTGGAAATGCAAAGAGTGCTTGTTGTTGTTTTAATGAATCATGATCACCAAATTTAACTGTTTTAGGTGACAATGGAGCGCTTACTATAAGAAAATATTTTTGGCGATATTTTTAACGAAAAGTTAATGAATTTTATGTCTCCAAAATATTAATCCTTTTGATTAAAAAAATCATGGTTTTTTTACCATTTCTTTGTTGTTTCCAAGTCTGTTCAAGTTCAGCATAATCCCCATCAATAGAACATTCTAAAGGTTGTTGTTTATGAACAAAAGATATTTGTTGTTGTTGAGGTAATACTTTACGAGGTCGAGGTATTGGTTGTTGTTTAGGAGAAGGTTGTTGTTGTTGTTGTTGATTATTTAAATCTACAGTTACCCCTCCAGAACGTAAAATTTTCTTTAAAAATAAAATTTAAAAATTAAATTTTAAAAGGAAAATAACATGTAAAAATCCAGCAGGTCTTTGTAGAGGGGGTGTTTGTTGGATTTGTTGTAAAGGGGGAGGTGCTGATCCAAATGGACGCCTAATTGGTTGTGGTGGTTGTTGATATTCTATACCTACATCTCCTCCACTAAAAATAAATTTTGAAATATTTACAGACATTATTTAAAGAATATAAAATAATTAATTAAATGCCAACTAATTAAGTTTAAACTTTCCCCTACTTTGTATTCCCATAAAACATTTGTTTTAGTCCACGACGCATTTTGCTAAATGGCACTCCAGGTGAAGAATACCTACAAAAAATTAATTAAAATTACTAATTTATAGAAAAAAGATCAGAATATTTTTTAACAAAAAATTATTAACAAAGTAAAGAAAGAGAGAGATTAGGAGGATTTATTTCCGCAACTTTTACCAATAAATAATTAAAAAAAAATTTTTTTAACTTTATAAAAAAAATTATTTCAAACTTTTCTTCTTCTTCCTCTTCCTTCTTTTCATCATTTCCTCCTTCTTCCTTTTCTTCCTCCATTTCTTCTTCAAATTTTCTTCTTTTAATTTCCCTCCCTTTAGGTAATATCCCCAACATTAATTGTTTTAATTCTTCTAATTCATTTGTATCATCCAATCGAAGGGAAGATTTTGAGGCTATAGAAGAATATTGAGGGTATAAATGGACAGAAATAGCTCTAGGTCTCTGTTCTGATTTTAAAAAATATTCTGTGCTTAATTGGGGACTGTTAGGGGCTGTTTTGGGTATAAAACTTTCTTTTAATTTAAAAGCATTTTCTGAAGTAAATTTAGCTAAAGATTGTTTTAAACATTCAATAACTGCTTCGTGTCTAGAAGAATTGCTTTTTGTTGCTTTAATTATATTTTTTAATTTGGAATGTTTTTGTTTAAACTTTTCAAATTCATCATCCACTAATAATTCCTCCTCCTCTCCTTCTTCTTTATTTTTTCCTTCTTCTTTTTTCTTCTTCTAATTTTTTTATAAAAATATTTTTTAATACTTTAATATATTGCCTTATTTTTTAATACAAAAAAGTCTTTTTTTATTTCATTCGTAAAAGAATATCACTTAAAAAAGAATTTATTTAACATAGTCTATTAATTGGGAAAACTTGACATTAATCAAATTAATTTTTTAGAAATTCTCTATCTAGCTATTCAACCAACAAACAACTTTATGTATATCTATTTATTGTCCAAAAATATTTTAAGGCAATATATATTTTTAGTATTTACCATTAAATTATTAATTTCTTGTAATTGTTCTTCTATTAATTCAATTCTTTCAGCTCGACTTTTTCTCCTTTTAATTATTGAAGGAGGTTTAACTAATTTAATTGTAGCACTTGTAGATACTTCTTCATTCCCTTCTTTATTTAAAATTTCTTTTCTTTTCTCCAAAATTCTTTTATTTATTTCTTCCCTCTTTTCCAGCCATTTCCTCTTTTCTAATTCAAAAATTGAATTTATTTTTCTAACTTCTTCATTTGGCGGATATTTGGATATTTGTCCAAAATTGTGAGGTCTTTCCCATTTTTTTGAAATTCTTTTTAAAATTTTTGGAGACAAAGATTGCTGTTTCCTTTTTATTTTTAAAGATTCTTTTAAAAAATTATTTTCTCTTTCTTCATCAGATCCACTTAATTTAAATTCTTCATCAGAAAAATAAGCTAAAGGAGCAGCATTTTTATTATCAAAACTTTTACTAAAATTTCTAAAAATTCCTTGTTGTTTAAAATAAAAATCAGAAATTGAGGAACTTCTTTTAGCTAATTTAACCCCAATTTTGTTTTGTAATCTCTTTTCTTCTTCCTCCCTTTTATTATTTTTAAATAAACAGGGTAAACAACAACAACAACTTTTACATTCACAACATTTGGAATTAATATTTTGTTGTTTTGGAAGAAGTTGGAATGATTTTGGAATATGAGACATTTTATAGAATATTTAAATTGTTTTTTTATTAAAATAATAAGCTAATTAATTTATGTTTAAAAGTATAAGCCAAAAAATAATGTACAAATATTTTTTGAATTTCTGTAGAAATTGTGAATTAATTAAAGAATTTATCGAAGGAAAATAAATAAGAATTAAATTTTTTTGGAAAATTGTTATTTAAAACAAAATATATGTATTTAAAGTTATTTTGTTTTTAAAAAAGAAAGAAAAATTTTTTGTCAACCTTTCCATTGTTTTCAAATTTTAGCTAATTATCTACAAAACTTTTGCGCAAAAAATAAAGAAGAATTTAAATCCATTATATATTTTTAAATAAATAAACAGAAATAACAAAAATAAAGCCAGTCAAGTCCTCATTACAAGATTCCCCCAAAATTAGTTTACTCAATTTATTTCAAATTTTAATTGCCAACATTATTCCGGGCATGAAAAAATGTTTCGGAAACTACCCCCTAGTTTTAAACTAACAATTTAATTAGTTACACATCAGAGATAGGAGAGGGAGGGGGAGGTTTCGAACCAGACTTTTTTTTACCTGAACCCCGATCGGAGAAATTCTCAAAAACCCGATCCTAAACCCAGACC